CTAGGGACATTGCACAAGAACATTTGCTTGCAGCTCAGCAAAGACAAAAAGACTATTATGATTCTACTGCTAAGCCAAAGATCTTCAACATCGGAGATGAAGTTTTGTTTTTATCTCCCAACAAAACCAACAAACTGCAATTAGATTGGTCGGGACCCTGGAAGATCACCAGGAAACACAATCAAATAAACTATGATATTTATGATGAACATTCAAATGTGGAAAGAAGAGTTCATGTAAACATGTTAAAGCCTTATGTTAGAAGGTCTGCTAATGTTTATTTTGTTGTTTCGGAAGAAGAATCCGGTCCCTTTTCTTTTTGGGAGGGTGATCGTGAACAATACAAAAATTTGGATCGGGTAGAAATAAACAGTGAATTGTCCCAACCACAGCGAAGAGAGGTTGTGGAAATTTTGAGTAAATATAAAGATATATTTTCAGATTTACCAGGAAAGGTCCAGGGAGTCCAGCATCAAATAAACACCGGTGATGTAGCTCCTATAGTATGTCCACCCTACAGGGTCACAGGGAGACCCAATGAATGTATTGAAAGGGAGATTAAAGAAATGTTGGACCTAGGTATCATTGTTCCATCGATTAGCTCTTGGGCTTCACCCATAGTATTAGTACAGAAGCCAGACAAGACAATTAGATTTTGTGTAGATTATAGGCAATTAAACAAGGTAACCCAAACAGATACTTATCCTATGCCATGTTTGAATGATTTGCTGGAAAGGATGGGGAAGGCCAATTTTATTAGTAGTATAGATCTAACCAAAGGATTTTGGCAAGTGCCCATGGCACCACAGGATCAACATAAAACCGCCTTCCGGACCCAAAATCGGCTATTTGAATTTTCCGTACTTCCATTTGGGTTAAAGAACAGCCCAGCCACATTTCAGAGATTAGTGGACAGAGTTTTAAGTGGGCTGGGGTCTTTCTGCGTGGCCTATATCGATGATATAGGGATTTTCAGTGATTCATGGGAAGCTCACCTTGAACATTTGGATCTGGTATTAAGTAGGTTGAGGGAAGCAGGGTTAACTATTAAAGCTTCCAAGTGCAAGTTAGGATACAATACTACCAAGTATTTAGGACATTTAGTGGGAGGAGGTTGTATTTGACCTGACCCTACTAAAGTGGCAGTTATTCACCAGTGGCCTGTGCCCAAAACAAAAAAACAGGTTAGGGCACTCCTTGGATTGGCTGGATACTATCGTAAATTCATTCCATCTTTTAGTGATTTGGCAGCCCCTCTTTCGGATCTTACCAAAAAGAAGAACCCGAATCAGGTAATTTGGACTCCAAATTGTCAAACTGCCATGGATCAATTGAAGAAAGCCATTACTTCGGATTCGGTCCTAATTGCGCCAGATTTTGATAAACCTTTTATTCTAACATGTGATGCATCGGATACTGGGCTAGGAGCTGTCCTAAGCCAGTTAGATGTAGAGGGTGAGGACAGACCTATTTTGTTTTTGAGTAAAAAATGGCATTCCAATGAATATAACATGTCAATGATTGAAAAAGAATGCTATGCCATCATATGGTCAGTAAAAAAATTAAAGCCATATTTGTGGGGGAGAAAGTTTACCTTACAAACGGACCATGCTCCATTAAGATGGCTAGATAATGTAAAAGGTACGAATAACAAATTATTGAGATGGAGTTTATGTTTACAGGATTTTACATTTGAAATTAAACATGCTTCAGGTAAACGAAACATAGTCGCAGACGCCTTATCTAGAATTTCGTATGGTAAAAGGTTTGTATATATGCATTATAATATATTTAACCATATTGTGATTGCCTTTCAGAAATATTGTGTATTTAGATATTGTTGGATAATTTGTGGAATTATTTTTGCCCATTCCGGGAGTGAGAATGGCCCAAAAATAATTTTTCTGTGGGGGAAGGTGTACAGGAGTTGATTATAAATTGTATGATTTTAACTGTATTTGTGTTTAGATTGGCTGCAGTAATGCTGGAGCGGCCTAAGTCAGAGGAGTCCTCCATGGGCGTTGCCATGGAGACCGATGCTGGAGAGAGGGAAGTGGGAGGAGCTTAGCGGGGAGAGTTTGAACAAACGACAGTTAAAAATCAGTTAGGGTTTAGGTTTAGGGGAGTGAGCAGTCAGGAGTTAGGTTTAGAGGAGTGAGGAGTTAGGAGTTGGGAGAGAAGGAAAGGAAAGGTGGGAGAGAAGGAAAGGAAAGAAAACAGTGTGCTGTTTCCCCCCGAGTATTACAGGTTCCACACATATGTGTCAGTTACAACTCTTTTTTTCGCCCCTCCCCTCCATTTCCACAGTTGACATTTCACCTCTCTTGCCTTAGGTTTGTTTCTTTGGAAAGCAATACCTGTCGCAAGGTGGGGCATTCGCAACAGTTAGTTGCAAACCCCCGTTAGGTAATCTTGATTGTGTCTGATGGAAACGTCTTGGGTAAACAGCATCTTGTGTACAGGGCCACTTGCTCAAGAGGCCAAATGTTACATTACCCTTTTGCACATGGGGTGTTTTGGAAATTTAACAAAAAAACAACCTTATCAGATAATGTTAGGTCAACCCACAGATTGAGTCAATACTGAAAAACTATTCTGATTTCTGGGTTGTTGGGAGCTTTCTGGGCTGTATGGCCATGTTCCAGAAGCATTCTCTCCTGACATTTCGCCCACATCTATGTGACAACTTCACAACCTCTGAAGATACCTGCCATAGATGTGGGTGAGACGTCAGGAGATAATGCTTCTGGAACGTGGCCATACAGCCCAGAAAACTCCCAGCAACCCAGTGATTCCAGCCATGAAAGCCTTCAACAACCCAGATTCTGATTGTGAAGCAAAACTTTGAGGCTTTGAAAAGCTGGGTTTGGCTATTGGAAGTTTCTCAGGCTAGTGCAGCCGCAGTACTACAATATAAAGCAAGGAGCCCCTAGTGGCAAAATGGGTTAAAATCAGTGGTTCTCAACCTGTGGGTCCCCAGATGTTTTGGCCTTCAACTCCTAGAAATCCTAACAACTGGTAAACTGGCTGGGATTTCTGGGAGTTGTAGGCCAAAACACCTGGGGACCCACAGGTTGAGAACCACTGGGTTAAATCCTTGTGCCGGTAGGACTGCTGACCAAAAGGTCGGCCTTTCCCCAAATCTGGGGAGCGGGGTGAGCTCCCTGTCAGCTCCAGCTTCCCATGCAGGGACACGAGAGAAGCCTCCCACAGGATGGTAAAACATCCGTGCATCCCCTGGGCAACGTCCTTGCAGACAGCTAATTCTCTTACACTAGAAGCAACTTGCAGTTTCTCCAGTTGCGACTGACACGAAAAATAAAATCAATTAAAGCAAATTGCTTCAATTAATTATACATTTTGGATTTGGCTGTAGACTCGGGGAGGGGGGGGTCTGATCTAATCAAGCTTTAGCACCTCCTATGGCTTTGAATAGAGTATCTGCATTTAATTCTTGCTTGGTCTTCAATTCTGATACTATTCAGTGGTGAATATGCTTCTTTTTCTCTTACCTGAGTTTAAGGAGATAGTTAACGATATGCTTGGGCTGAAGATCTTGTGAAGACTGGTAAAGAATCTCATCATATCTGAAAAGAGAAGGATTGTCAGAGGCCATTCATTCATCAAAACCAGAGGTCTTGACAAAGGATAAGGCACTTATGTTATCAGTTTTGTATTTATTTATGCAATGTATTTATTTATGCAATGCTTTTGACACAAAGTATCTCATCCCTTGCAAATGTTCCCACTCTTCCTTTGACCCGCCTCACTCAAATGCTCTCTCCCCTTTCCCACCCACCTCATCCAGTCTCACCCTGCTTTAAAATCTTATCCCTGGCTTGTATATACTCCTTCTTGCTGTTCCTTCTCTATCATCTCAGTCCTTCACTCAAGCCCACAGAGCTGACAAACAAAACAGTTGAGAAGAGGCCGGGCTGAGATATGGAGAGGGGCCCATTTTGAATGCTCGAGATGGAATAGTACCATATGCATTCTGCACATAGTATCAATCTATTAACTAACCGTGCTATTGGCAATTCACATTATAAAACCATACACTATACTACAACTTATTGTATTATGCACATTTACTTAGAATCATAGAATCAAAGAGTTGGAAGAGACCTCATGGGCCATCCAGTCCAACCCCATTCTGCCAAGAAGCAGGAATATTGCATTCAAAGCACCCCTGACAGATGGCCATCCAGCCTCTGTTTAAAAGCTTCCAAAGAAGGAGCCTCCACCACACTCCGGGGCAGAGAGTTCCACTGCTGAACGGCTCTCACAGTCAGGAAGTTCTTCCTCATGTTCAGATGGAATCTCCTCTCTTGTAGTTTGAAGCCATTGTTCCGCGTCCTAGTCTCCAAGGAAGCAGAAAACAAGCTTGCTCCCTCCTCCCTGTGGCTTCCTCTCACATATTTATACATGGCTCTCATATCTCCTCTCAGCCTTCTCTTCTTCAGGCTAAACATGCCCAGCTCCTTAAGCCGCTCCTCATAGGGCTTGTTCTCCAGACCCTTGATCATTTAGTCGCCCTCCTCTGGACACATTCCAGCTTGTCAATATCTCTCTTGAATTGTGGTGCCCAGAATTGGACACAGTATTCCAGGTGTGGTCTAACCAAAGCAGAATAGAGGGGTAGCATTACTTCCCTAGATCTAGACACTATACTCCTATTGATGCAGGCAAAAAATCCCATTGGCTTTTTTTGCCGCCACATCACATTGTTGGCTCATGTTTAACTTGTTGTCCATGGGGACTCCAAGATCTTTTTTACATGTAATGCTCTTGAGCCATGCATCCCCCATTCTGCATCTTTGCCTTTCATTTTTTCTGCCTTGTTCAAGGAAACTAATCAAGAAAAGAACTGTTGCACATCTCAAGTACCTGAGAAGATGCTGAATTAGGGAAAGAGCGGGTGGATCTTGTAAGCCCGCCATGTTAATGTGAGACACTTGATTAACTGTTCCACACATCTCTTCCAAACTGTGAGAAGATGGGAAGAAAAAAGTTACAAAATGCATTATAAATCAAGCCGCACATCATGTTTTAAATAAAAAGTTTCATCTCATACAACCTTATGCAAGTCTTGTTTAAATGAGACAAAAAAAGTGAAGGATATAAAAGAGTCTACTGTTTATAGTAGACTATTTATATTTTATATATTCGAGAGAGAGAGAGAGAGAGAGGGCATGCATTTAAGGAGAGTATGGTCAGAATTCTGTTTGTGAACTACTGGTTGCACTTTTTATAAAATGTCGCAATGGTGGCAAATGAAGAGAGAAATCTCCCAAGCAATGTATTTCTTCACTGCCTTCTTTCTTTCATGGCTGTTGTACTGCCATTCTCATCCTATCTTCAGGCATTATTGCACTTCCATAGAGCACCAACAGTGCCCCCTGGTGGTGCAGCAGATTAAACTGCTGAACTGTTGAACTTGCTGACCGAAAGGTTGAGGGTTCGAATCCGGGGAGCGGGGCGAGCTCTTGCTGTTAGCCCCAGCTTCTGCCAACCTAGCAGTTAAAAAACATGCAAATGTGAGTAGATCAATAGATACCACTCTGGCGGGAAGATTTATTTATTTATTTATTTATTTATTTATTTATTTATTTATTCCATTTATATACTGCTTTTCTCAATCCTTGGGCAACTCAAAGTGGTTTACACTAGCAGAAATTCAATGCTTAAACATCATAAAACAACTAAAATCATGGCATCAATATACAATCATCACAAAGTCAATTAAAAAAAAACAGCGCTCCATGTAGTCATGCTGGCCACATGATCTTGGAGGTGTCTACGGACAATGCCAGCTCTTCGCTTAGAAATGGAGATGAGATCCACCTCCAGAGTCGGACACGACTAGACTTAATGTCAGGGCAAACTTTTACTTTTACCTTTTACCTGAGCAGCAACAGGATCCCAGCCTCTGAAACCTAACCCCATGACTCACGACTACATCCTCAACAATCCTCTTTCATTTTGAACTACTCTACAGCCAAATTCAGAAAAGATGAGCCTTGATTACACCACTTACCTGCAGAGCCTGGCGTGTGTGTATTGTAGGAAGACGCCAGTGTCACCTCGGTTTTGGAGGACACGATCCCAGCTAAACTGGTAATCAGACGATAAGAGACCCTTGAAGTCCTGAAACCATGAATTATTCAAGCATTACGCAGAACCTTTCACAGCATCTCTAAATTTTATCGCAAAAGGGAAAATAAACACGACAGCTTGAACAAACCTGAATGATAAGTGCTGCAAGCCCGATGTTTTCAGCTGTCTCAAGAGGATTGTCGAGTTCTTTGGTTGCTAAGCAGATTAAGGGGATGAAAAAACACCTATTATCTCAAAAGGAAAGCAGCTGGCTGATCCGAGAATGGATGATATTAGTGAAGGCATGTTCTATGCTCTTGTTTCTGAAGTGGTGAATGCAGAGATATGGGGATGGTCTGTGGTTTAACCAGAAGGAAACATTACAGCTATACCTTCCCTATCAAGTACCCAAAGTCAGGCTAGCTTCTCAGGTAAGAACACCTAACCAAATAACAATTTTTTGGCCAAAATCCTCACATACTGGGCATTGACTGTTGGGAACTTCTTTACATCTCAGATGTTGGCTTGTAGATATTCTATAGGTACACTATATAGGTGTCATAAGGAAGAGGGAGCAGACTTGTTTTCTGCTGCCCTTGAAACTAGGACTAGGAGCAATGTGTTCAAATTACAGGAGAGATTCCACCTGAACATTAAGAAGAACTTCCTGACCGTATGAGCTGTTCAACAGTGGAACTCTCTGCCTCAGAGTGTGGTGGAAGCTCCTCCCTTGGAAACTTTTAAACTGATACTGGATGGCCATCTGTCATGGATGCTTTGATTGTGCTTTTCCTGCATGGCAGGGGGTTGGACTAGATGCCCCATGTGGTCTCTCCCAATTCTATGATTCTATAGTTCAGGGTTGTCAAACTCATTTGCATAAAGGGACACATCAGCCTTATGGTTGCCTTCACAGGGATGTTGAACCCATGGATGGAAAATCCATGGAGACAGAGGGTCACCTATAATATTTTTATATAGTGCTCAGTGCTCTTTAGTTTTTACCCGATTTAACTCCCCAGATGCTATTGAATGTCCACTCCCATCACTTCCTATTATCCACCATGTGGACTGGGAATAATGGGAATTGAAACCCAAGAGCATTTGTGGCGCTGAGGTTGAAGTAATAGTATTTTGAAGTCAGCTATATCTACAACTGGATGAAACTGTATTCTGATTCTAATTATGAGACGCTAACAAGATGTTTATTGATGTATAATTGATTGTTTAATATGCTATTGTTTTAATTGTTTTTAACTGTTTTATGTTGTTCTGAGCATTGAATTTTACTATTGTTAACCACTTTGAGTTGCCCGAGGGCTGAGAAAAGTGGTATACAAATATAGTAAATAAATAAATAAATACAAGCCTTGTATCTAAATTCAAACCCCACTCTCCTGACTGAACAGAACAAACCACAGCCTTCCAGATAATACTGTATCACAACTCCCATCAGCTCTAGTCATGATGCCTGTGATGAGAAATATAGGAGTTGTAGTCTAGCATCTGGAGGGCCACACAAAAAGATATGGTGTGCCTTATTTGGCTTGTGGGCACTAAGCTTGACACATGTGCTATAGTTCATGGGTGAGTACAGTGTGGCTTGCAGGCCATATGTGGGTCTTAAGGTGTTTTTCAGTTTTCCTGTTTTCTTACTGGTTAAAAATAAACCTTTTTAGGTCCCTTAAAAGTAATGGAAAGGCCCTGCATCATACATTTTGATGGAAAATGAAGGAAATATTTAGTTGTTGTTTTTTCAAGAAAACAATAATTTTTAGAATGGGGATACAATGGAAAGGTCCAGCTATCTGATGTCCCATGCCTTGGGGAGGGAGTGACCTTTATCTCCAGTGGTTGCCCACTCATGCCACAGGATAGTGGGATATTAACAGTAATGCTTCAGTTTTAGATACCTGGGAGTAAACCTCACAGAGCTCAATGAAGCAGACATGCATAGAATTTCCCTCTGTTAGAAATAAAGGTGTTTAACTTCAAGCATAGGGTTTATTCAAGTGTATATGGGTACATGCGTATATGTACACACACTTTTTCAAACGAAAACCAGCTGCAGTGGACGAAATGTAAACTGAAACATCCCATCAAAATCTTATGATATGGACAGCAATAAAAGCAGTCATGGCAGAGATAAAAAGAATATGAGCAGAAATATCAAAACAGCAATAAAAGCCCCTGCTCCCAAAAGAAGCAATAAAAAAGAGCAATTCAAGTTGGAACTCAGGTGCATCCTGGGCAGGGAAATAATTCCATTGATGGATGGGTTGTCATTCCCTGCTGTGAAATAAAAGAAATTACTTGAAAGGCAGCCTCTAATTTTTGAAGTTGAAATGTGTAGGTTTGGGGCAAGCATATCTTTTTCTGCCAGGCAAAAGAAGCAAAGTAAAGATGGCTTTAACTATAGTCCACAGAAAGGGAGAATCAGGCACTGCCAGAAGTAAAGTATTAAGTTAAAGTATGTTTGACCAACTAACTTTTGACTGAAGCACTTCTCTCTAACACCATTGAGCGAGCTTCATCCAAAACATCTTCCAGGAAAACCACCTCTCCTTTTCGAGTCTTCATCCCCTGAACTCTCCCAAAGGGCAAATGCTGGCACCTGCAAAGAGGAACAAAAGATGCCATTCTTGTACATGAATAGTATAACATTGTATTTAAGTAAAGTAAAGGTTTCCCCTTGCTGTTAAGTCTAGTCAAGTCCGAATCTAGGGAGAGGTGCTCATCTCCATTTCCTAGCTGAAGAACCGGAGTTGTCCGTAGACACCTCCAAGGTCATGTGGCCGGCATGACTGCATGAAGCACCTTTACCTTCCTGCTGGAGCGGTACCTACTGATCTACTCACATTTGCATGTTTTCGAACTGCTAGGCTGGCAGAAGCTGGAACTAACAGTGAGAGACCACCCCGCTCCCCAGATCTGAATCGCCGACCTTTCAGTCAGCAAGTTCAGCAGCTCAGCAGTTTTACCCGCTGCACCACCGGGAGCTCCAGTAACATTGTACTTAGAAAACAGTAATTGCAAACAATCTTCTCTCTGAGCACAGGTTTAGTTTCAAACAATGAGCTCACGCCATTCCTGTTCAGAAAAAAATGGCCCTATTTTCTCCTGTTAAGAATCTGCCATTTTGTAAATCTATACGGTAAACTGGAGCTTCTAAATCAATCAATTACTGCTGATGAGAGTTAGTGGTGGAAAATATGTTGACTCTGTATTGGGGTAGGGAAATAATGCTCTTCTGCAGGTGTTACTGGACTTCTGCCTTTGTTAGCTACTGTAAGCCTTGCTCATGGTGACAGAAGTTGAGAATATTAGTTCATCAATTCTGGGAAGATCACAGCTTTCTACAAATGTCTTAAGACTAGCCAACTAAGAAACTTCTCACAGTGGAAATGACACTACACAGCCTTAGTGTGTCTACTACACTTTGTAAACCAAGTGCCTTGATATGAAATGGATATGGAGTCGTTCAGTACCCTGTTTGGCCTTACCATGAACACACTGTGGATCCTTATACGTTTCCACAGGATGTTTCTCCTTCCACATTAACACTACCATGATACAGGTCTGATACATATATGCACATGAACAAGTTGCCAAGGCCATGTTTACCTTTCTGTCCATTCATAACCCAGTAACCTCAGTATCTGGAACACTTGCTGAAAATGCGGAACTTGGCTTTTATCTGTCTTAGAGGAGGGAAGAGGTCATTAAGCATACTGCAGATACTAAATGTACGAATCAAGTGAATATTGTTCATATTAAAGTTGGAAGATGCAAAGTTTGAAAAAATTACCTTTTATTAGTACAACTCTAAGAAGCTCCCAATCACTATGACCAGTGGCCATGAAATCTGGGAACTCTAACCTCAAATGTAAATTTTCCTAGGCCTAGAAATACATGTCAAAAAATAGAATTGATCTCATATATCAGAAAGAGCAGAAAACAGAGAAACGGGGAGTTCTGTTCTAAAGTAAAATTTGATAAAGTCGTCTCACATAAAAGAGATCAACGTTGAAAGAATGATCCAAACAGGAAAAAGGTTCAAGCTCTGGAGAAACCTCAGAAATGTTTGTCCTTCAGAACTTTGAAGCCTAGCCATCTTTTTATCCATTCACACCATGGGTCACAAAAAAGGAAAACAGATATTACACTAGTTTTAAAAAATCAAACAGAATACAAATACGGTAGTCTGCTACACGTCTTACTAAAAATGTTTGGTGTGCATTAACAGCCACCAATGCATAATTATGAAAAAAACTGGAATGGCAAAATATCTTTGGCCTGAAATTGCTTGGATCAGATGCATGGCGTACTGTTGTGAGCTACAAATAAGCAATGGATATTGCAATCATACTGTGTTAGCAACTCAAGTGTGTTGTCCATAATGTGGCTTGTACACACTATGCTTCTTGTATTGTCGAAAGCTTTCATGGCCGGAATCACTGGGTTGTTGTAGGTTTTTCAGGCTATATGCCCATGTTCCAGAAGCATTCTCTCCTGATGTTTCGCCTGCATCTATGGATGCCTGCCATGGATGCAGGCAAAACATCAGGAGAGAATTATTCTGGAACATGGCCATGCCACTTGAAAAACTTACAACAATCCACTATGCTTCTTTCTAGAAGAGTAGAAGAAGATACTCTCTAGCCCTTGGTCCCTTTCCAAAACCTTTCCGAAACCTTTCATAGCCAAAGCCCCGGCTCAACCATGTTGCTGTTCCTTACTGGCAGTGGCAATTCATGTGATGAAACAGTGGCTGGTCTTGGATCCAAAGGAAAGGAAAGGCAAACTGCTTTTCCATGGTATTAAAGGTTTTCCTCTGCCTTTTCCCTAAACACCAGTAAATGGCAGCAGCCCCCACACTTTAGAACAAATCCAGATTGATACCACTTTAACTATTATGGCTCATTGCAATGGATTCCTGGGGTTTGTAGTTTGCTGAGACATCAGCACTCTTTGGCAGAGAAGACTAAAGACCTTATTAAAAAAAACTACACCTCCCATGATTCCACAAAATTCATATATTGAACATTTGAATGAAATAAGAGACTTATCAATCTGTCAAAGTCAAACCCACAAACATGGAGGGCTTACTGTAGTTGTATCTTGTAAACTAGGGAGCAGGGAATGTATATCCCTCTAGGTGTTAGATCACCACTCCATTCAGCTCTAGCCAACATAGTCAATGGGGAAATATGATGGCAGCTGCAGCCCAACAACCTCTGTAAGTCCTCGTATATCCTATCCTAGCTCTAGATAAAGAAGTCCACAGGAGATCAAGAGATACCTACCACATATATCATGGTATCAGGATTATATTTATCCATTCTGTCTATAGCAGCTGCAAGATCTCTGCAAAAACAAACACAAGAAAGAACAAATCAAGATCAAAATATTTTAAAATAATGTATATCTGACCATGATTATTTCCCATGTTATATTAAGTGAGGTTCATAATGCCCAGAGCCTTGGCTGCCTGTCTTTCAAAGCTTTGCCCATTTTTTCCTGCTTTTAGTAGGGGTTAAAATGTTGCCTCCTTGATTGTGTGCTAATTCTTTTCATCCTGCATTTGAATTTAAAGAGAAACATTTATGGCAGAAACCTGAACACTTTCAACCACTTTGTATTTACTCAATGTTAAGAAATGTGTATTTACTTTAATCTTATGAGGGAAATGTGTGTGCAGTTGTATAAATAAAGAAGAACTTGCCTCTGAACAATCACACCAGAATACCTACCTTGTGAGGTAGAGGGAGGTTCCATCGCTACGCATGACAACAGACTGGTCTCCATTTTCAGAAAGAAGAACTACTCCTGTTCCTTCCCTAAAATAGTTTTTAAAAGATTTGAAGAAACTATATGCCAGAGGCCACATCATCACAATTTGAACCAAGTTACCTTCAAAATGAAGAAACACAATTTGCAGCAGCCCTCACAATAGTAAAGGTAAAGGTTTCCTCTGATGTTAAGTCTAGTGGTGTCTGACTCTGGGGCATGGTGCTCATCTCCATTTCTAAGCCGAAGACCCAGAGTTGTCTGTAGACACCTCCAAAGTCATGTGGCCAAAATGACTGCATGGAGTGCCATTACTTCCCACCATGGCAGTACCTATTGATCTACTCATATTTGCATGTTTTCAAACTGCTAGGTTGGCAGAAGCTGGGCCTAACAGTGGGAGCTCCTCACGTTCCCCAGATATGAACTGCCAACCTTTCAGTCAGCAAGTTCAGCAACTCAGCAGTGTAACCTGCTGTGCTACCAGGGGCCCAGCCCTCATAATAGTAACATAATAGTAACAACTTTATTTTTTATACCCTGCTATCATCTCCCTGAAAGGACTCGGGGAGGCTTACATGGGGATCAAACCCAGCATAAAACAAAATGTATCAGCTAAAACACAGTTAAAAACATAATAACATATAACAGAACATAAACTAATTAAAACAATTAAAACAGCTGAGTATAAAAACATTGTAAAAGTATATCAAATCAACCTCAACAACCAGTAACAAGGAATATGGTGGGCATGATCAGATTAGAGAAGGCAAAGCATGGGCTTGTGCAAAAAGCAAACTATTGGGTTCTGGGAGTAAAGTACTGAATACAACTTTATCAATAAATTAGAGCCAGGCATTCTTGAGCAGGGACTAATCGTCATTCAAATACAAACTGGAACATCCAGATCACAGATGGAGCTGAGGTCCAAGGATTACTGGAGGGCATTGTAATTTCGTCCTATACTATAAATCAGTTGTATCCAACTTTTGGTCCTCCAAGAAGACCTAGTTAACTTATCCAACGGTCAGACACAATGGGAGATGAAGTCCAAAACTCTGGAAGACCAAAGGTTGGACACTACTGGTCTAAATATTCATTTTCTTAGTAGCCATTTCAATGTCTGCATTGGTTTCTCAATAAAATCAACAAATCCTTTATTTCATATATCTTAGGGAATCGGGGTTTATTTGTTTTTTGAGAACTGGATCATGATCCTGTCAAAACTGTTTCACTTTTCTGAAGGTTGGCCAACACTTTGGCAGAGGAAGGGCGCATACAAAACTAGTTGGTATTGAGAGCTGACTGCACATTTCATTCCTTTAACATTTTCTAGTTTGACCTACCCATGTACATGAAGGAGTATTTGCAATATTATCTTTGTTATTTTTAGACAAACCCAGGAGGAGAAACATTTTGGACCCAGAGTTCATAAAAACAGATAGGCTTGGTATTAAGGGTATATGGCTTTGATTCATTCACAACCCTTAACAGATGCTTATGAAACTTTAGGTCTCTGTTATCTATTGCAAAGGGGCTTATAGCCCATGGTACAAAGGTTGTAAATGAAATAACCTGTTCATACTTTGTTTTCTTCAAAAGTCCTTTGGTATCCAATATCTTCAGAACTTCTTGGCTTTTCTCTTGATAGTCAGATTCTCCCGAATAGTCATCAAAGCATACTCCAAGACGCTGAATGGTTCCACCAAGATAAAAGGAAAATCAGAATTATTGTAAGGCAATGACTACATTTACTTCTGCAAGTACCACTTGATAAACATGAGACTGGAGATATGCAAATAACATTTAAAATCAAATTAAAAGAATTGTTTAGCATATTTGATCAGTTTCAAGAGCGAAAATTTAAATGTGTCATTTAGAAGTGCAAAGGTAACCTGTCTATTCCATTCAATTTCCAGTGTGGCCATATCTCTTCCACTGTTCACAATTACCCCAAAATTTCCGTTTGTCCAGTTCTGAACTATTTACTTTTTGGGCTACTATGAGTTTTCTGGGCTGTATGGCCATGTTCGAGAAGCATTCTCTCCTGACATTTCACCCACATATATGGCAGGCATCCCCAGAGCTTGGGAGGTCTGTTAGAAACCAGGCAAGTGGGGTTTATATATCTGTGGAATGTCTAGGGAGGGAGAAAGAACTCCTGTCTTCTTGAGACAAGTGTGAATGTTAAAATTGACCACCTTGATTAGCACTTAATGGCCTTGAAGCTTCAATGCCTGGCTGGTTGCTGCCTGGGGGAATCGTTTGTTAGGAGCTGATTAGCCGGCACTGATTGTTTCGTGTCTGTAATTCTACTGTTTTTGAGTGTCACTCAAAAACCGGAATTACAGACAAGAAACAATCAGGGCCGCCCAACAAAGGATTCCCCCAGGCAAGAAGCAGCCAAGCCTTGAAGCTGCAAGGCCATTCAATGGTAATCAAGGTGGCCAATTGTAACATCCACACTTGCCTCAAGCAGACAAGAGTTCTTTCTCCCACACTGGGCATTCCACAGATATATAAACCCCACTTGTCTAGATTCCAAAAAACCACACAACCTCTGAGGATTCCTGCCATAGACATGGGTGTAACATCAGGAGAGAATGCTTCTGGAACATGGCCATACAGCCCAAGAAACTCATAGCAACCCAGTGATTCCGGCCATGAAAGCCTTTGACAAAACTTATTTACTTTTTATCAAAATAACTGGACATACTTATTGTGCAAGCTAGACAAGAGAAAATGATATATATTATAATGATACTAGAGTAAGTGTGAATACCATATTGGATTCAGCAGCTTGGGAAATACCTATTCTCCCATTCTGATAATGGAAGGCATTCCTATAACACTCCAGAGTACATTGATATAAATTACAAATAGCTAAACATGTAAAAAAAATCCCGTTCCCTGAATATAAATGAATATAAATGATAATTTGTGTACACTGAAAGAAAGATTCCTAGTAAGCACCTTGTATATTTGGATATATTCTTCAATGCTGACATCTCTAAAATGTTGCCACAATGACACTGCTTGTTCTTCACGCATCTCTAGTTTTCTAAAAAAATCCCGTGCTTGCTTTTTAGTATCTTCCTCCTTTTCTGATGCCTTGTTGACCTGCACATAGACCTAGGTGAGACCAAGATCAATGAGAAAGGTGGGTCAGTGTTGTAATACTTCCTATCAAGGAAGAGGATAACGACAACAGCTCAGTAGTAGAACAAAAGTTGTATCCAGACCATTCCTGGTGGTCTACAAGTCAAGTAAGACTTGGAAAAAAATACTTTTTGGGACAATTGTTAGAAACTGGACAGCATAAGTCACAACATCCAAAAAGTAATTACCTCTGAGCTATGAATGGACTCACAAGCAGCAGAGCTGAAAGACCACTGGCTTGGGAAGCCCGAGAGCTGACAGTCTGAATCAATATAGTAAGGAATCTATACATTCTCAGAATTATTGTACCAGTTCTCCCACTATTCCTAAAACCTGGCCATGTTGGTTGTGACAATGGGAGGGAGTCCTTTCCTGGTCCCCAGATTATGAATGGGGACAGGAGCTGAAGAAGATAGTGGAAAATCACTGAAAATTATCCTTCCCGGTTTCTACTGATCAATTCCTCTTGTGGAGCAATCAATTTTGGATTCCATACAATTGTTTTTGGCCAATTACAAATTCTATACTGCATCACTGACCGAGAGATAGCACGAGAGAAGACTTGATTTACTGAACTTAACAGTCACAATCCTACCTTGCCTTCTCTATGGATCTAGTAAAGCACAGATCCAATTTCACTGAATCATAGAGTTGAAAGAAGCCACAAGGGGTCATGCAGTCCAACCTCCTGCCATGTATATAATGTGTACTAGCTTCACATACTCAATGGAGAAACAAAGCTCAGATTCTATACCAAGTTGATAGCTAAAGAGATGTTATGAAGAGTTTTCATTGAATGAAGATAAATAGCAGCTTTAGGAGGCCCTTATTTCAGCAAAATGTGTTGCATGCAGGCCACAGCTGTGCAATTGCTGAGCCATGAACCTTCCCTTATCCTAACTATTACGTTCTTGTATGATACCTAGAAAATTATTCACTTTGGGCCAGAGAACCACATATATAAACACAGAAAACAAAATTTAAAAATTACAGGAGAGAGCTTTAAAGCTTGATAACTTTAGGGTCCATAGTAAGATCCAGAAAGTACTTTGGATGATGTTTCTACAAGTGCTTTCACTGTACTTTAACATACCTCGAAAAGATGCTGTAAAGGATTAGACTGTAATTTTTCTTCAGAGCCAAAACGCTGGAAGCCAGCTCCCAACAGGCCTGCAATAAACATTTAAAGGACATACAAGTGTTACAAATAATAGAATCATAGAGCTGGAAGAGACCTCGTGGGCCATCCAGTCCAACCTCCTGCCAAGAAGCAGGAAAATCAGGTTCAAGGCACCCCCAACAATATAATCATAGAATCAAAGAGTTGGAAGAGACCTCATGGGCCATCCAGTCCAACCTATATAATACTATATAATGCCACATTTCCACCTTGCCAGCAGAAACACAAGCTCTCCGAGAATTACTATATTTTCGTAGAGCTTGTAAAACTTATTGATTTAGGCTGGCATTTGAATCTTGCTGATTGAAATGTTTCTTTGATTTTAAATGTAATGTATCACATATGTATATTGTAAACCGCTCCGAGCCTTCAAGGAGTGGTGGTACATAAAATTGATTAATAAATAAATAATAAATAAAATAATAATAATAATATAAAAAGTATATATTTTATATTACATGTAATATTACTAATAATAATGCAGTACAGTGGTACAGTACAATATAGTAATACACAATACTAATATTGTGCTGTGCTAATAATATAATATATTGTATACACATATAATATTGATAATAATATTGTAATACAATATAATACTAATAATACAATATAATAATTATATATTTCATATTACATGTGATATTACTAATAATATTACAGTATATTGGTGTAGCACAATATGGGAATGTATGGTACTAATATTGTGTTATGTTAACAATATAATATATTGTATTTACATATAACTTGTAAGCCGCTCTGAGTCCCCTTCGGGGTGAGAAAGGCAGCATATAAATGTCGTAAGTAAATAAATAAATGCAAATTGAATTGTGTGAACTGAAAATGGACAATGCTGCTTCTGTGCGAGCATGTGTGGACAATTTCAACAGAAAGGAGGAAACCATGAAAATGAACAAAATCTTCTGCTTAGAAATGGAGATGAACACCAACCCCCAGAGTCAGGCACGACTGGACTTAATGTCAGGGGGAAATCTTTACTATACACACACACACACACACACACAACATGCTTTTTCTCTGCCAAAGGAGACTGGAAGTGGCTAATTAATCATTTTGTTTCATCCACTTAAATAATCTTATCAGCAAGCAATAGTTTCTATTCCTTTACAAGAGAAGAAGCAAGGACAATTACCAAATGCAATATAGTTGCTTTTCAAAATTACCACAATGTGTGGCACATTTGGAGGATACCCTCCCACTTCTTTTTGCCCCACACCTTAATCTCCAATTCCTTTTTCCTTCCCGCATCCTTCTTCCCTTCTCTTTAGTCATGGCTCCCCCAATTTAACTTGTTAAGGATGATTAAACAAACCCTTCACCTTTGCTGCAAAGAGAGGAGGGAAGGGAGCAAGTGAGCAGGCAAGAGACTCATTCCTTTCTCTGCTCATTAAGCTGAGATACAATCACTTGAACGCAGGCAATGAGGAAACTAGCTGACATCCATGCAATAAGAAGAAAAACAGGGCTAACTCCCATTCAAATGGATGTCTGTAAGAAAATAATTGCTTTGTGGATCAGAGGTTGCCTTTCTGCCTGCTGAATTTCAGAAGGATATAATTTAAAGCCATCCACTTAAAAGCCTGTTGTAATGGAAATCTGGACAGATCATTAATCCAACAGTACATTAGGGAAGAACTGTTCTTTTCTTTGTTGGGAAAAAAAACTTAGCTATCGCATTTTGAACCTTGTTCACATTTCTAGAAAAGATGTTGACCAACCAAATCTAAGGAGGAGGAAATAAATGCCAGAAGGTCTTTTCACTTGAGGATAAATCTTATTCATTTTAACATAAAACTTTATTTGCATTCTTTTTATCTTCTTCAGCTGAAAGCTTGGAAATCTACTTTTTTCAGGGGCGATTTAAATGCAATATTCCTGCTTCTTGGCAGGGGGTTGGACTGGATGGCCCATGAGGTCTCTTCCAACTCTGTGATTCTATGATTCTATGATTCTACTTTTAAGAAGAATGTATATAATGTGTTGTCATGACCGGAATCACAGAGTTGCTGTGAGTTTTCCTGCCTGTTCTCGAAGCATTATCTCCTAACGTTTTGCCCACATCTATGGCAGGAATTCTCAGAGGTTGTGAGGTCTGTGGAAACTAGGCAAATTGGGTTTATCTATCTGTCGACTGTCCAGGGTGGGAGAAAGAACTCTTGTCCGCCTGTGGCAAGTGTGAATGTTGCAATTTGCCACCCTGATTAGCTTTGAATAGCTTTTCAATTTCAAAGCTTGGCGGCTTCCTGCCCGTGGGAATCCTTTGTTGGGAGGTGTTAACTGGCCCTGAACAACATTCAGAAAACAGTGGAATTCCAGGTATGAAACAATTTAATATCCACGTTAGTCAACATGAGATCAAAGTTACTGGTTTCCACAACACAGCTTTATTTTTAAAGGGTCTAAAAGGGCAAACTTTGATAAATCCCAGACCCTGGGATGCAGTTGTGAGGCCAAAAAAAACAAACAAACAATAATTCTTACCAAATTGCATGCCCCAGTCTCCAAGGTAATTTATTCTTTTAACATTATGTCCACAGGCTTCTTTGAGATTTGCTACAAAATTCCCTATAAATACAAACATAAAAAGTTATATGGTTCCTCCCAAATGCTCATTTTGATGTAATAATAAAATAATAACAATAAACTTTATTTATTACTCCGCCACCATCTCCCCAATGGGGACTCGGAGCGACTTACATGAGGCCAAGCCCAAATAACACTTACAATAAAGAAAAACCAAAAACACAAACCGAAAACGCAAACAATAAACAATAACATCATAATTACATAAAACATATAAATACATAACAATATAAAAATATGCACAGGCACAATAATAATGGGCAGGCTACATGTAGTGATTAAAAGGACAAACAGATTAAAACTAATTAAAACTCAGGCAAGATAAAAGAGGGAAGCAGGTAATTTACGGAGGTGGGCTCATTTTAGCGGGAGTTGTGGAATCAAGCTTTCCCATGAGGGGGGACGTATACTCCAATGACAGAACTTTGAGGCAGGGCAATCATGTGGGATTATATACCTACTCATCAACACAAACTCCCTTTTTTCCTTCATCGCCCATCCAACAAATACAATGGTTTGATAGAGCGAATTTCTCAGTGGATCTCCAAAACTACTCTGAATGAGACTTTCATGAAATAAAATGTTGTCGAACGCTTTTATGACTGGAATCACTGGTTTGCTGTGAGTTTTCCAGGCTGTATGTCCATGTTCCAGAAGCATTTTCTCCTGACATTTTGCCCACATCTATGGCAGGCATCCTCAAGGTTGTGAGGTATATTGGAAACTAGGCAAGTAAGGTTTACATATCTGTGGAATAATATCCAGGATGGGAGAAAGAACTCTTATTAGAGGCAAGTGCAATGTTGTAATTCATCACCTTGATTTGAATTTAAGACCCTTACAGCTTCAAGGCCTGGCTGATTCCTGCCTGGGGGAATCCTTTGTTGAGAAGCTCAAGCTAAAAAGTACACAAAAAGGTTCTGCAGCAAATCTTTAAATACTAAATTGTGTTTTGGAGCTGAAGAAATAAACATTCTCTCTTTCCAGTATACAGGATCATAATGTGGTTGTTTATCAAGAAGCTACTGCTAATACGAAGAAGATACATTGAAAACAAAAGTGTGGACCTCAAAACTGGCTTTGAGAAGTCACTCCATCCTACAAGCTACACTTTCTCCACTCCAGCTTAAAGCATCAATATTATGTTATTTCCTTCTTTTTAGATTCCGCTTCAATTGTATCTTACCTATTATTGTAGAACGCAAATGACCTACATGAAACTTCTTTGCAATATTTGGTGAACTGCAAAAAATATTGAGAGTTACTACTTTTAGTTCAGGTTATTTCCCTAATCTAAAATTTAAAAGGCACATAAGAGAGGAAGACAGTCATATGTACACATAGAATTATCAAACCACTACATCCAAACATATGCATTTCCATGTTCATCTTGTTTCATACAGAGTATAAAAGAAAACATGACTGGGATATCAATCCATAAAAATGTAAAAGCAATACAAAACAAAAACAATAATTTGAATGCTGGGAGAGCTCATCCATTCCCCAATGGAAGCATAATCAATGTCCTTTGAAAATCTAATACCTTTCTACTAAAAGTACTTTGAGGCAAAATCTTTTTCAGATAGCTATGTGCTGATTCATAGTTCACTTGAGATGAGTTACAAGTACGTTTCCTGGGCATGTATGATGATGGTGATTTTTACATTATGTAACATGATTTTTGTTCCTGGGTTATAACAATAATTTTCTAATTGGTTCTATCATAAAACATTGAAAAAAAGTTTATTAAACTACAAAAGTTTTGTTTTTGCAGGACATTCTGCAGCAGATTTGGCTATAGTTTTTCAATGAATATCTCATCGAATCTCAACCAATTCAACATAGTTTGTGGCAGCCACAAAAACAAAGTTTCTGGAATAGAACAATTATTTCCAAAGTCAGTACCATATATACTCAAGTATAAGTCAAGTTTTTCAGTCCTTTTTGTATGCTGAGAAATGTCCCTCGGCTTATACCGTAATCAAGGTTATTGTCAGGTTTTACAATGTATTGTAATGTAATATAGCTTAGTCATGCACTGCTAATGGGCTTCTATTGAAAATGCTGAGTCATGCATTAACTGTATATAGCACTTCATTTGGGGAATGTGTTTTGGCCTAGTCCAGGTGATTGTGAATGATGTAATCCTGGGTCTGAGTTAAGTCAATGAGTTGGGAACCAATCAGTGATTGCTATGTGTAAATGAATTGTATATAAGGAAGTAATGTACAGTGTATATTCCTCCTTGTGCTGTGATGTTGTTTGTCAAAGGCTATATGTAATTAAAAGAACCTGTCTGCTAAGACAAGATATAACTGTATGCTTTGGTAAGTCTGTAATATCATCTAGACTGGGGGAAAGACAATGGTAAAACTGACAATGGCCGGGCATGTGCTCAAGTGTCTGTAAAAGGTTCCAGAATGACTGCAGGCTGTGGGAGCAGTTGACTGAAAATACTGTGCAGGAAGAAGCTACTGGAAAGCACTGAAGTTGTGCAACTGATCTGCTGCTGTATTTTGAAGTTAATCTCAACAGTTATTTATTATTTTAATATATTATTATTATTATTATTATTTATTATTATTATTAACAGCAGCAGTAGTAGTACATTATTTCATTCTATTATCAGTTTTACTACATTTATTAATTTTCTCTATTTATTACTATTACATTTATTATTTTTCTCTTTTTATTATTCTTATTACATTTATTATTTTACTGTTTCTTATTATTACATTTATTATTTGACTCTATTATTACTGTTATTATCATATTTCCATTATTTTGCTGTATGATGCTGATGATGATTACATTTATTATTTTACACTTTATTATTATTGGAAGGGTATGTTAAGGACATTTACACTGAAGGTTAGAATAATGATTTAATCAGAGTTGGACAGTCTTATCTTAAATTACAGTTGTATGTAAATATTCAAAAACATTTAACCTACTGGTGCCTCAATGTAATTTTATTAGTATCTATTTTTATTTTGAAATTCACCAGTAGCTGCTGCATTTCCCAACCTTGGCTTACACTCGAGTCAATACATTTTTTCCAGTTTTTGTGGTAAAATCAGGTGCCTTGGCTTATATTGGGGTCAGCATATACTTGAGTATATATGGTACTGCATAATTAAAGAGGAAATAACACTGTGAAACCAAGAACAGATTTTCTTTCAAATTTTGTTACATAGTATTATGATGTTTGTGTTTACCCCACTTTTTCTCTCCACAAAGAGACTCAAAGCAGCTTACATTAAAATATTTCAATGCAATTTAAAATCTACAAATATATAAACATTAATACAGAATTAAACATCAATGGTGTTAAAAGAAATCACAGTTAAAATCTGTCCAAATCTATGAAAACACAACTGTGGTTCTTTCACGTGGCTCTTTCTTGTATTCCACTGTTTTAAATGTTTAAAGGGATGAGTCATAACAAAACTCCAACTCAGCATGGAAACCCACTAACTGACTGTGGGCAAGTTACACTGTCTTGGCCTCAGAAGGAAATAAAGGAATCTCTACCACAGTCTTAGTGTTGCCATAAGCTGAAAATGACCCGAAGGCATACCACCACAACATTAACAAAAATGGGAAAAGTGAAGGATGCATGCTCATGTGGAATATGTGTTGGCATAGTCTGTCTGTCTATCTATCTATCTCTCTAAAAGCAGTAAGAACTCAGTTAAGGAACACACTCAGTAAAATAGATGACAAAAATAAAACTAAACCCTAAAGAAGCTCATTGAATCTATGTTGTATGTAGTCAAAGATACTTGCTTAACCAGCCCACAGACTCCACTGACATTGAAGACATTTTAGCAATGACTCATACTAACTTGACTAATATACTCACCTAAACTCAATTATAATCTTTTTTGGGGGGAAATCTGAGAAAAGTTCACTCTTTAGTCCATACTGAGGGCCATCGTCAAACACTTGCTGCAACACTGTCTTAGGAAACAAATATAGCAAATATAGGTAATAAGTTAGAAGACAGAAACATAACGTTACATCAAGCAGCTACATTTTCACTGTTTTCACACATGTGAAAGATCGGTTCTTACCTTTGCCAACAACTCTCGATTTATTGTGAAGTTCACTGTTCCATCTGCCGTGCCGATTTTGCTCACTACTCCATCACATTTTAACTATAAGAAAGATAAAACGCAGAGACAAATGGATTATGCCATAAAAGAGCAGTAAAATCTATACACTCCACATCTTCAGTTTTGGGAAACTATTACACTGACTGCAGCTGGTTCTCACATACAATAAGATTTGAATCATGCTTTGAGAGTTCAGAAGGACTTTCTATAGCATTTCACATTTGCTGACAGATGAAGGTAGCCAATCCTGTATGCCATTAATAATGAAGAACAATACAGAGGATCTTTTCAACAGCAAGCTAGGCAAGTGTTTTAGTTAGGTGAGTTTTTAACAGATGACAACTTGGTGGGCAATGGGATTTTAACAGATGAGTGTGTGTTGTTGTTCTTTCCTTACTCTTGTGCTTTTCATTACTATTAATTCAGTGGCTTTACGCATACCTTCTTTGCAATATTCTGGGCTTCATGCTGAATGTCTCTCCTTGAATTATCATCAGAGCTGGCATCGGGCACAGAATTCACAAAGATCTGGAAATCAGCTTCCTGCCTGAAAAGAAGTGTGGGAAAAGGAAAAAGTGTCAGCCTCCTTTTACATGGCCAATGAGATTAGGCATCTAAACATTGATGGATCCTGGTTGGAAAGATCTGAGACATCCTCATCTTCAGAAGATTTTGAAATTGCAAAACTCTGCATTCAGTGTGGTCATTTGGCAATATATCTGTACAGCATAGAAAAATTACTTTTCTGGACTATAGCTCACAGAAAGTCTTAGCCAGTATTGTTTGCGCTGAGGTATTTGGGGAGCTGCAGTTCAAAGAAGTAACTTCTTCAAGATCAACAGCTCCCACTTTGGGCATCAGAGCCAGCAGCCAATGTATATAGGTAGCTCCTTAACCACAAAATCCTAATAGTAAGACTCCATAGAATCGGTTCACCCACAGTGTGAAAGTGAGTCTATCTGTGAACTATTGGGCAATAACTAGAAAAGGGTTGTCCTCTCCTCCTTCATGTCCCCTAGATTTCCTTTGTTTCACCTTACCCCCAAAAATATATTGCTTCTCCCGACAGTTTCTAGAAAAGGCAGGTTACATTTTAAATACCCTTCACTATTCAACTATTGGAGCTCCTGGTGTTGCAGTGGGTTAAACCGCTGAGCTGCTGAACTTGCTGACCAAAAGGTCACCTGTTTGAATCCGGGGAATGGGGTGAGCTCCTGCTGTTAGTCTGAGCTTCTGCCAGCCTAGCAGTTTGAAAGTATGCAAATAGGAGTAGATCAATAGGTACTGCTCCGGTGGGAAGGTAACACTGCTCCATGCAGTCATGCTGGCCACATGACCTTGGTGGTGTCTATGGACACAGGCTCTTTGGCTTAGATATGGTGGTGAGCACTGACCCCCAGTGTCGGACACAACTGGACTTAATGGCAGGGGAAAACCTTTACCTTTACCTATTCAACGCTAAGATTCCCCCACCCCTACTTTTCTATACCACAAAGTCAATGAGATCTTTTGGATTTGGGGATTGATTTTGGGAGCATCTGTGCAGCATGTGTACTCAGGGCAGAAAACACTGCAGCAGTTTACCTTTGTATTTGCAGCAGACTTCCCAAAACATGGCCTTCTGTATTCACTGATTCAGTATCCTCAGGTTCAACCATCCACAACTTGAAAACATGCCCCTCCCACCATGATTTTGCAATTTAATGTAAATGACACCATTTTATCATAATATGTATAAAATGGGAGAAGTAGCTTCAGCTCTGTTTGCCCATGGAGGGCCCTAGAAGGAAATCCCAATATATACCAAGTGCTTACTGTACACCGAGGCATGAAAAGGGATAATACAATTACACAAGGGTACATGGGATGGATATTGTTCCCACCTGGATATAGTTCTAACTGAGGCCCTTTCCACACAGCTGAACGAAATCCCACATTTTCTGCCTTGAACTGGAATATATGGCAGTGGATTCAGACAACTAAATTAAAAGCAGATATTGTGGATTTTCTGTCTTGATATTCTGGGTTATATGGCTGTGAGGAAGGGCCCTCAGGCCCCTTCTACACAGCTGAATAAAATCCCACATTATCTGCTTTGAACTGGAATATATGGCAGTGTGGACTCAAATAACCCAGTTCAAAGCAGAAACTGTGAGATTTTCTGCCTTGATATTTTGGGTTATATGGCTGTGTGGAAGGGCCCTCAGAAGAGCGGAGCAGGTACAATTTGTCATGGGATTTGCTTGGTCAAATAAATGAGATACTACTGAGTCCTTCTTTCACGACACAAGGAGAGCATATAAACAGAACAGAACATATGAGGGAAGATATTGCTTACATTCTGAAATTTCCTGAAAAGGGTAAAAAAAAAACAAAAAACTATGACTTAGGGCCCTTCCAGTGATCTAAACCAGAATATCAAAGCAGAAAATCCCACAATATTTGCTTTGAACTGGAATATCTGAGTCCACACTGGAATATATTTCAGTTCAAAGCAGATAATGTGGGTTTTATTCAGCTATGTGGAAGAGGCCTATGATATCAGAGGTCATATAGCAATGGATACAAAGCCACTTAATTTCTTAAGCATGCTCAACATTGCACAGAAATTTAGTTGTGGAGTATGACTTATGCATGTTCAACTTGCGGTATGTGCTCACATTAAACATTTAAGGAGATGTAGGTGTTTATTTGTAATTGATTTCTATTAAATATTGACATGTATTCCAACTTCTGCAAATGATTGTTGTCAAACATTACCATGAACGTAATCCAATCACCTAGGCTTTTCTTCATTGTTTCCTCTACTGCCTGCCTGCCTCCCTCCACCTCATTGGCTGAGCGGCTGAAGCGGGACTCGTGCTCTGATTGGAGGAGCTGCATCCTCCCCCGGCTCACTGATGTCATGACCAATCACAGCGAAGCCGGCTTGGGAGGGGGGCGGGCACAGGGAATTTGAATCTGACAGCTCTATATATTCTGTATTTGCCTGCCTAAAAAGCATGTTGACTCTTTGGCAGGCTACTGCGGTTGTCGTCCCTTCTAGCTGGGATAGAAAATAAACTTCGGTGGCCTTGCCTCATCCTGGTGAGATTTATTTGGAAACAGGGAAACTTTGATTGGTGCTTATTGTCTCGCCAGGCTTATCGAGCCCTCCTTTTGGGTCCTCGCGGGCCTCTGCTCAGGCAGGGCCCCCCTGTTCATGATGAACAACGACTAATAAATATTAGCAATACCTTGAATCTTAATTGTGATTTTAAAAGCATGACACAATATTTTAAGAAGGTAAAAAAGGTAAAAAAAATTGTGAGAAATAGTGTACCCTTTTTTTGACACTGGAACAGCGCATATCGACTTTATCAAGTTTTCTGGTGGCAATTCCAGAACATGCGAAAGCTAGATTGAAAGGGGGAAAAAATCAAAATTAGCTGAAAGGAAAACATTCAAACAAAAAATACTTTTGGAAAACACATCATGTATCGTTTTACAATAGCCATAACAGAAGGTTAAATTCTGAAGTTTACTATTCTGGAAGGATAATAATACTCTGACATGACCTGCCTTTGGAAAAATGCCTTCGGTAGTACTTTATTTTACCTGCTGTGCAATCTCACCCTACTCTATTTTTTCGGATCCCCTGTCCAGATACATTACACTGCTGTCTCACCCAGTGTTTTTAAATTTTTAATCCATTGAAATCGGCCTGCCAATATGATCAACCTCTGTGTTTTAAATGTTGTGATTTTATATTTTATATTCTTAAAATGGTTTTGTACTGTACTTTATTTTATTTTTATATTTTTGCTGTGTTCTGTTGTATATTGTTTCACTGTATTGCTGGGCTTGGCCTCATGTAAGCCGCCCTAAGTCCCCTTGGGGAGATGGTGGTGGGGTATAAATAAAGTTTATTGTTATTATTATTATTAATGGTAATGCTGCAATCTATCTCAAAGACTGGCTCTACACTGTAGAATGAATGCAGCCTGATACCACTTTAACTGTCATGCTCCATATATTGTACTATACCATTATATTGTAATATTATTAGTAATATTAAATGTAATATAAGTAATTATATCATACTATTAGTAGCATTATATTTCATTACATTATAATATTATAAATATTATATGTATATACAATATATTTTGTTGTTGTTGTTCATTCGTTCAGTCGTCTCCGACTCTTCGTGACCTCATGGACCAGCCCACGCCAGAGCTCCCTGTCGGCCGTTACCACCCCCAGCTCCCTCAAGGTCAGTCCAGTCACTTCAAGGGTGCCATCCATCCATCTTGCCCTTGGTCGGCCCCTCTTCCTTTTGCCTTCCACTTTCCCCAGCATAATTGTCTTCTCTAGGCTTTCCTGTCTCCTCATGATGTGGCCAAAGTACTTCAACTTTGTCTCTAGTATCCTTCCCTCCAGTGAGCAGTCGGGCTTTATTTCCTGGAGGATGGACAGGTTGGATCTTCTCGCAGTCCAAGGCACTCTCAGCACTTTCCTCCAACACCACAGCTCAAAAGCATCGATCTTCCTTCGCTCAGCCTTCCCTAAGGTCCAGCTCTCACATCCGTAGGTGACTACAGGGAATACCATGGCTTTGACTAGGCGGATCTTTGTTGCCAGTCTGATGTCTCTACTCTCCACTATTTTATCGAGACTGGACATTGCTCTCCTCCCAAGAAGTAAGCGTCTTCTGATTTCCTGGCTACAGTCTGCATCTGCACTCATCTTTGCACCTAGAAATACTAAGTCTGTCACTGCCTCCACGTTTTCTCCCTCTATTTCTCAGTTGTCAATCATTCTTGTTGCCATAATCTTGGTTTTTTATGTTTAGCTGCAACCCAGCTTTTGCACTTTCTTCTTTCACCTTGATTAGAAGGCTCCTCAGCTCCTCCTCGCTTTCGGCCATCAGAGTGGTGTCATCTGCATATCTGAGGTTGTTAATGTTTCTTCCAGCAATTTTCACCCCAGCTTTGCATTCCTCAAGCCCCGCACATCGCATGATGTGTTCTGCATACAAGTTAAAAAGGTTGGGTGAGAGTATGCAGCCTTGCTGTACGCCTTTCCCAATCTTGAACCAGTCTATGGTCAGTTCTGACTGTTGCTACTTGGTCCTTGTACAGATTCCTCAGGAGAGAGACAAGGTGGCTTGGGATGCCCATCCCACTAAGAACTTGCCACAATTTATTATGATCCACACAGTCAAAGGCTCTAGAATAGTCAATGAAGCAGAAGTAGATGTTTTTCTGAAACTCCCTGCCTTTCTCCATTATCCAGCGGATATTGGCAATCTGGTCTCTCGTTCCTCTGCCTTTTCTAAACCCAGCTTGAACATCTGGCAACTCTCGCTCCATGTATTGCTGGAGTCTTCCTTGCAGGATCTTGAGCATTACCTTACTGGCATGAGAAATAAGGGCCACTGTACGGAAGTTTGAGCAGTCTTTCGCATTTCCCTTTTTTGGTATGGGGATATAAGTTGATTTTTTTCCAGTCTGATGGCCATTCTCGTGTTTTCCATATTTGCTGGCATATGGCATGCATCACCTTGACAGCATCATCTTTTAAGATTTTAAACAGTTCAGCTGGGATCCCGTCGTCTCCTGCTGCCTTGTTGTTAGCAATGCTTCTTAAGGCCCATTCAATCTCACTCCTCAGGATGTCTGGTTCTAATTCACTCACCACACCCTCAAAACTATCCTCAATATTATTATCCTTCCTATACAGATCTTCTGTATAGTCTCGCCACCTTCTCTTGATCTCTTCAGCTTCTGTTAGGTCCCTGCCATCTTTGTTTCTTATCATACCAATTTTTGCCTGAAATTTACCTCCACTGTTTCTAATTTTCTGGAAGAGGTCTCTTGTCCTTCCTATTCTGTTGTCTTCTTCCACTTCCATGCATTGCTTATTTAAAAATAGTTCCTTATCTCTTCTGGCTAACCTCTGGAATTGCGCATTTAACTGGGCATATCTCCCCTTATCACTGCTTCCTTTTGCTTTCCTCCTTTCTTGGGCTACTTCCAGTGTCTCAGCAGACAACCATTTTGCCTTCTTGGTTTTCTTTTTCTTTGGGACGTACTTTGTTGCCGCCTCCTTAACAATGTCGCGGACTTCTGTCCATAGTTCTTCTGGGACTCTGTTTACTAAATCTAGTCCTTTAAATCTGTTCTTCACTTCCACTGTATATTCGCTAGGAATGTTAGTGAGATCATATCTAACTGGTCTGTGTATTTTCCCTGATCTCTTTAGTTTTATTCTAAATTGAGCAATAAGAAGTTCGTGATCTGAGCTACAGTCAGCCCCAGGTCTTGTTTTCACCGACTGGATGGATGTCCGCCACCTTTGGCTGCAAAGGATGTAGTCAATCTGATTTCGGTGTTGACCATCTGGTGAGGTCCATGTGTAAAGCCGTCTTTTAGGTTGTTGGAAGAGAGTATTCGTTATACACAGCGAGTTTTCCTGGCAAAATTCTATCAGCCTGCGTCCCACTTCATTTTGTTCTCCCAGACCATGCTTGCCTGTGATCCCAGTTGTCATTTGACTTCCCACCTTGGCATTCCAGTCTCCTGTAATGAAAATAATGTCTCTTTTTGGTGTATTATCCAGTAGGTCCTGCAGATCCTCATAGAACTGATCTACTTCTGCTTCTTCAGCAGCTGTGGTTGGGGCGTATATTTGGATCACTGTAATTTTGAAAGGCTTTCCTTGCACTCGAATTGAGATCATTCTGTCATTTTTTGGGTTGTATCCAAGCACCGCTTTAGCGAATTTCTTATTAATTATGAAGGCTACTACATTTCTTCGATGTTCCTCTTGTCCGCAGTAGTAGATCTGGTGGTCATCTGATGTGAAGTGGCCCATTCCAGTCCATTTCAGTTCGCTGACCCCCAGAATGTCTATCTTTAGTTCTTGACATCTCACCAATAACAACATCCAATTTGCCCTGGCTCATAGATCTTACATTCCAGGTTCCTATGGTGTGTTGATCTTTAGAGCATCGGATTCGTCGTTCACCTCCAGTACCGGCGGCCGCTAGCCTTCCTTTCGGCTTTGAGCTAGCTGCGTCATCACATCTGGGGCTAGTTGAACTTATCCTCTGCTCCTCCCCAGTAGCATTTTGGCCATCTTCCGACCTGGGAGTCCCATCTTCCAATGGCATACCGACATATCTCTGGTTGTACTGGTCCATTTAGTGTTCTTGGCAAGGATACTGGGGTGGTTTGCCGTTGCCTTCCCCAGGGATCACGCTTGGTCTGACCTCTCTGCCACGACCGTCCCGTCTTGGGTGGCCCTTCACGGTTTCGCTCATGACATCATTGAGGTGCTCAAGCTCCAGCGCCCCAACAAGGCGGTGATCCTTTGCTGGAGTGCAAAGTTGCCCATACTATATATACTCCAACTAATTTGGCAGGAAGTCTGAGGGTGTATCTATCTGTAGAATTAAGTCAGTTCGAGACCGCTTTAACTGCCATGGTTCAATGCTATGGAATTCTGGAAGCTGCAGTTTGGTGAGGCACCAAACTCCTTGGCAGAGAAGGCTAAAGACATTGTAAAACACTACAATTCCAATGTTTCAACAGTATTGAGCTATGGGGTCAAACTGCATTCATCCTTCCATTGAGATACACTACAAACAGGGATTCAATGCAAGAAGCCGGGCGAGTCCAAGTGCACAAGAAGGGGAGGGGGAACCATTCGTCGCCACTGAAGGATGAATGCATTACAATTTGCAGAGGAAATCGATACCTGAGCTGCTATGCTCCTCCGAAACCGGCACGCTGCCATGGCTCTTGTCAGAGAACCATTGCCAAAACTCTTTTTTTCTCTTCCTGTTTTCGACTCTATTCCCCCCCCCCCATTTGCCGTAGACCAACCCATTTGAGGTGGAGCCTTCCTCCCCCCGCAGCCAGTTGGACTGCTCTGCTCTAGGACGAGCACCAATAGAAGAGACGGACTCGAGAGGCTGGGCGGAGCAAAAGGCAGAGGACTGTGCCATTAGTTGAGGGGGAGGGGGAAATTATTGCAAGAGGAGACGCGCGGGTAAATAGCGAGGTTGCGCATGCGCCGTGTGGTCTGAGTTGCACCGTGGTGGGCTTCTGGAGTCCCCGAGGGAAGTTTGGCCGCAGCTACCATGAGCACGTGCTCTGTTTCCAAGGTGAGTTCAAAACGGAAGAGGGTGGAGCACTCTGCCCCCCTCCCTCCAGGAGACCTCGCGCGCGCAGGGTTTTGTGTCGTTGGGCAAATGTGCCGTGTTCTATTAATTGTATGGGGGGGGGGGTTGGTTTGTGAGGGATGCCTCGCGGGCAGTCCTCCCCGGGGCATGCGCACATGGGGCGGTGGGTATAACCTCTCTGGAGTTGGCAGTTGAGGCGCATGCCACAGGAGCCCTTACGTCATAGGCGGGGGAATTGAACTCACAGGAAATAAACAGAATCACAGAGAATGGAAGAGGTAATCCAGTTCAAACCACACAGCCAAAGCACTCCCGACAGATGGCCATCCAGTCTCTGAGTTTCTGTGAATTTTTCGGGCTGTATGGCCATGTTCCTGAAGCATTCTCTCCTGACGTTTCGCCTGCATCTATGGCAGGCATTCTCAAAGCTTGTGAGGTCTGTTGGAAACTAGGACAAGTATGGTTTATATATCTGTGGAGGTTTCAGGGTGAGTCTGCTTGAGCCAAGTGTGAATGTTGCAATTGGCCACCTTGATTAGCATTGAATAGCCTTGCAGCTTCAAAACCTGGCTGCTCCTGCCTGGGGGAATCTATTGTTGGGCGGTGATTAGTTGGCCCTGATTGTTTCTTGCCTGGAATTCCCCTGTTTTGAGTGACAGTAAATAAAGAACATTGCTCAAAAACAATTTCAACAGAAAGGAAGAAACCATGAAAATGAACAAAATCTGGCCACCAATATTAACAAAACCCTCTAAAATCATAACAGTAAATAAAGAACAATACTCGAAAACAGGGGAACTCCAGACAAGAAACAATCGCCTCTCAACAAAGGATTCCCCAGGCAGTAAAAAGCCAGACCTTGGAAACTGCTAGGCCAGTATTAAAATAACTCTAAAATCATAACAGTAAATAAAGAACAACATTCAAGAACAGAGGAACTCCAGACAAGAAATAATCAGGGACAGCTAATCACTTCTCAACAAAGGATTCCACTAGGCAGTAGGAAGCCAGACCTTGAAAACTGCTAGGCCAATAAATGATAATCAAGGTGGCCAATTGAAACATTCACACCTCCAACAGACAAGAGTTCTTTCTTCCATCCTGGATATTCCACAGATATATAAACCCCATTTTCGCAGTTTCCAACAGATCTCTCAACCTCTGAGGATGCCTGCCATAGATGCAGGTGAAATGTCAGGAGAGAATGCTTCTGGAACATAGCCATACAGCCCAAAAAACTCACAGCAACCCAGTGATTCCAACCATGAAAGCCTTCGACAATTCATCCAGTCCCTGTTTATAAACTTCCAGTGAATGTAGTTTGACACCACTTTTAACTGCTGTGGCTCAGGCAGTATTTATACTGCCATATAATCCAGTTCAGAGCCGCTAATCTGGATTCTGTGCGGGGCCTCAGTGTTATGGCTTTGTATTTTGATTGAGGGCCCACCACTCTGGCAGAAAAGTCTGAAAAGACCTTGTAAAACTACCCACTCCCATGATTTCATAATACTGAGAACATCTCAGAACAGCAGTCAGTGAGCAACGACAACTAAAACCCTTTAAAGGGAGATTGGAAAGAGGAAACAGTGCATTTGGAATATAGCCACAGGTTTCAGTCCAACCCAGGCCTGGGCAAACTTGGGCCCTCCAGGTGTTTTGGACTTCAACTCTCACCATTCCTAACAGCCTCAACCCCTTTCTTTTCTTACTAAATTGATTCTGCATCTTTAATCATTAAAACAAGCCACTTAAAACGTGTTGGTGTAATGAAAATCATGCCTAGTTCACGTTTTATCAGTCCACACACTGTCTTGCCGGAGAAAGAAAATATGCCATGTAGATGATCAATAAAGAACAAGTAGTTTACTCTTTGTAATGTAGAACATATATACAATTCTGAAATCAGTTGCATCAACTCACACAATGTCCTTTTAGAGATATAAATGATCTTTCGACATCCTTGTGGAAAATCTCCTTCCAGCAGCTCATGAAGCAAGAACTGTCTCTCTGCAAGCACGTGCACAGCTCAAGCCTAAATATGAAACTGTTGGCAAAACTCCCAGGCTCAACTAGCTCCCTGGCCGTGGCCCAACCAATCAGCATGCTTTGCATTTCCAGTTAACACACACACCAACTGATTTCTTACATGCTGTAACAAAATGTTGGAAACACTTTTGCTTCAATAGACAGTGATGTTCCAGTTGAAGGGATGCTGAAGAGACCCTTGAGTCTTTGGGTTGCTGTGAGTTTTCCAGGCTGTATGGCTATGTTCCAGAAGCATTCTCTCCTGACGTTTCACCCACATCTATGGTAGGCATGCTCAGAGGTTGAGACGCCTGTTGGAAATTAGGCGTGAGATTTATGTATCTGTGGAATGTCCAGGGAGGGAGAAAGAACTTTTGTCTGCTTGAGGCAAGTGTGAATGTGAATCAAGACAGTAAATAAAGAGCAACACTAAAAAAAATAAAACGGGAATTCCAGGAATAAAACAGTCAGGGCCAGCTAATGCCTCCCAACAAAGGATCCCCCAGGCAGCAACCAGCCAGCCTTTGAAGCTGCAAGGCCACTAAATACTAATCAAACTGGCCAATTACAACATTAACGCTTGCCTCAGGCAAACAAGAGTTCTTTTTCTCACCCTGGACATTCCACACACATATATATACCTCACTTGCCTAGTTTCCAACAGACCTTACAAGCTCCGAGGATGCCTGCTACAGATGTGGGCAAAATGTCAGGCGAGAACGCTTTTGGAACATCCTTCCCTTCTAGGTTGCAAAGGAGGTTTACTTTGGAACAAAAATCCTCTTAAAATAAATGCATTATAACAGTTAACCGGTTAGCTCAGGATTACAGAAACATAGGAGTTTAGATCTGTTTCTGTCAATCTGGAATGATAATGTTTTGGTGTTTTTTCCTCTACCCTTGCTGTTTAGGGCTGTTTTGTGTTCAAGCCAGATTCAAAAAAGAGGAAGATATCTTCAGCAGGTAGTATGCAAAGATATAATGAATCCACATTAACTAGAGACATCCATAATGTAAATTCAGCCTGTGTATTTTGCAATGTCATATTTATTTCTTCTCGTGTTGTGATTATTCTTATACGATCAGTAATATAACACTTTCTAAGATCCTGCATATAGAAAATAGAGAGATTGTGATATCTGACTTTTAAGGAGTTGGGCATATCTCGTCTAATGCATCTTCATTGTTTTAGATTTAATCATAACTCAAATACTACTCTGGATTGATGTTGTTGTGCCAGTTTTATGACATAGAGAGTTTTAAAAGAGTAGGCGCCATGACTGTGTAGTAACTTTCACCCTAGACAGTTTTATATTATCTTCTTTCCAGTGTTGGTCTTTATTGCTTCACTGTGTTTAGGCTGCTGATTACATGTATAAAGGAGGCTGTTTATATTGTATGCTTTGAAGGAGCTAGTTGTGGATGTTTATTTCTTGAGCTTTCTGCTGGTAGCAAATGTACCTCACTAAATATGACCTCCTTCAAAAGAATGAAATAAAACATTGCCAATTTTATCTGTGACTACCAATTTCCCTCTTACTTTTCTAGCTGACTACTTTAGTAAAGGTAACAATGATGCTGAGGATAGTGGGCTACGGTTTGATACATGTCAGTCCTTATGGAAAGAGATTAAATGTGAAACAGAGGTGAGTTTTATTTTGGACCGTTCAAGTGAGTTACATGTGATTTGTGCATGTTGACTATGTGTGTTTTGAGAAAAATTCTCTGAAATCAGTATATAACTAAGTTTCAACTAGTGTTAACACTTATTCATATATAAGCCAAGCATAGGTTTAAATGAACAAAACATGACTGCTAATATAGGAGAGGGCCCTCAGGTAGCGTAGCGGGTTAAACCACTAAGCTGCTGAACTTGCTGACTGAAAGGTTGATGGAGTGGGGTGAGCTCCAGCTTCTTCCAAGCTAGTAGTTCGAAAACATACAAATGTAAGTAGATCAATAGGTACTGCTTCAGCAGGAAGGTAATGGTGCTCCAATCAGTCAGGCTGTCCACATGGCCTGGGAGGTGTCTATGGACACTACCGCCTCTTCAGCTTAGATGAGCACCCCCCACCTCCAGATTCAGACATGACTAAACTTAATGTCAGGGGAAACCTTTACCTTTTAAAAAAAACATAAGAGAGGTTTGCAGGTGCAGTCGTCCATTAGTACTTTTTATCAAAATACACGGAAGGCCTTCATTTTCCATGCATTTTCATACACATTCTTCCATCTCTAAGATTTTAATAATAGTTAAGAGAAAACATTTTCTGCCAAAAACGAGTATCTGTATTGATCTCATTAGCTAAACCATTCTAGTATTCTGAGGATATCAAGCCATCCAATTGGCTGCTCATATTTGTCATATAAAATTGGAAATTTTACACAATTACACATTGTGCTGTGTTTACAATGGACTCTGCAGAAGACACTTCAGCTGTACTTCATAAAAAGAAAAAGCTGCCTGTTTAGCAAGCCTTGCAAATGCTGCTTTATTATTAAGAAATATTTGATTTGTATACATATTTCATATACTTATATACCTGGGTTCATGTAAAACTTTCTCAGATCAAAAGGGTTTGAAAGTGAAAAATTTAAGACACCCTGTTTTAGGTTAGAAGCCCTATAATTTATTTATTTTAGACTCCATAATTCCTTCCTACGGACCATGTTAGATGAGTCTAATGGAGCAATACATTAAAAGATCTGGAGGACCCAAAGTTTCCCACATCTGGCAAACAGTTTGTTCCATCTCTGGTTTATAGCTAAGAGAAAACAATTGTATTTTGCTCCTATATCTTGTGCTTATATTGCCCTTAAAGGTCAGTGTGTTACCAGCTGCTCAGTTTATTTTATTTCTGAACATACAAACCTTCTTTGAAGGAATTGTTCTATGAAATTGGTGTGTCCCCAGAAGTTCTAAAAGGATCAAATAAAAAACTAGCTCTTATAGGGATATGCCATATTATTTAAGTCTGGTTTTTTAGACTTAAAATACCTCATATACCTCTGTTCATAGAGTTGCACAGTTAAATAACAACTGAAGTATTGATTGACTGAGAACAATTCAGTAAACCTCTGAAAAGCGTATCTTTGATCACCAAGTACATTATTTTGTCTGCCAACTATTGTCAGGCAAGCTAAATAATTTCATATAATTAGAGCTCAATCACCTTTTGAGATAGTTTGCAGAATACACTGAAGGACAAAAGATTGTCTTCTGTTTTCTAACTGAAAGCTCTGTGTGTTTTCTTTTTAACAGCAAATACAAGAGGATCTCAATAAAAAACTATTTGATAACCTCCTAGATTTTTTGAGAAAATCCCATCTGGATTTCAAACAGAAGAAAACAGAGTGGGCTTCTCGCATGAAGTCTAATGAAATTCCAACTGCAGCAGTTGTTCTAGGTAATGTTTTATCTTGTATTATAATTTATTTATAAAAAATTAATTATAAATGTCATATTTCTGGGATGACATCAAATTGTAACATGGAGGAGAAATGTGGAAAAATTACTAAGAGCTATTGTAGTCAAGGATCATGTTAAGATGAGCAGAATGCCAAGTGAAATGTGATAGCAGCACAGTTATATCTGTGTACTCAGATTTACTCCATTGAGATCTATCTAATGGTGGAGGAGCCAGTTTTAATAGCAACAGGAACACAGGCTTGTTGTGGATTATCACTCTTCAGTGTGTTTTCTAAATAATTTTTCCAGTTCCAGTATCTATCTATCTAGCTATCTTATTCATGTATAATTCCTGCTTTTCTCTGTATGATGATATTCGCAGAGGCTACCAATGTATAGCAATACAGATTTAAAACTACAAAAGCTCAAATAAATACATGAATATAAAGACTATAGCAATTTCACAAATTATAAAGTTAAAATTAAAATTAAGTATAAAAGACTTTATATAACACTTGAAAACAGTACCAAATAGCATTAAAAGCCTATCCCAATCAAGTTGTCAAAGTTGAGCAGATAGCCATCCTGACTTCTATAGGGAAGGAGCCCCAAAGCCTCTGAGTAGCCACTGAGAAGGTCTTGTCTTCCCACTGAATGAGCCTGAGAAGATGGAGACCTCTCCCAGAAGTTTCATGTAATGGGTCTAAATAATCTGTTTTATCCAGAAATCCCTGAGCTGAGAAGCCGCCACATATCTTGCCTAAAAGTAGAATGTTGGAAATTGGTCTATAGGTAGTCAGTACAGTAGGATCCAGGGAATTTTGTTTTCAGAAAGGTCTTCTTCATCCATGTTTTGACTCTGCCTTTTGAAAGAGTCATTGATCAGTTCTCCTTAGCTGTATTGCAGACATCCTCTTTTCCTACTGCCTCCCCTGTCACGTGTGTCATAGGTTCATCATCACTGGCCTAGAGTATCATATAACATTTTGGCCACTAATTGATCTTTGGCTTGACTAGTTCCAAGGAAAGAAGGGGCATTACTTTCCTCAATTTTGCAAAAAAGAAAAAGAAAAGTATTAAGTATGTATACACATTTCCTTAATTCAGGATTGGGGAAAATGTGGTCTACAAGCAACCCTTGGCCGCAAACTGATGACTCAGATAAAGAAAAAATTCTGCCAACTTTTTGCCCAATTATTCCAGGTGATAAATCAAATCATTACAGAAAGTGGCAATTTCAATACCCTTCCACAACTACCACCCAACCCCTGCATGAAGAAATAGGCTTTTAAATGGTAAAAAAAAACCAAGTGGCATTACGTTGGTTCCAGTTGTGTTAAGGAATGACACTGCAGTCTGTGGGGAAAAATGTCCCCTACCCTTTTCTCAGTTGCGTGCCCCTGCCTTATGTTATTTTATAGTATTTAAGTTAGTCTCCACAGAATTTTTTCTGTCTAGGCTGTAATGGCTAGGATCCAGCAGGATAATTCCAGTGATAACACTTGATTTTTCAGCAGAATCAGAAGGAGTCAATCTTCCTTCCTCCTTGCAGGCTTCTCAGCACCCCCTCCCCAAAAAAACTGATATGGATGCCATGGGAGCCCAGTAGAGCCTCTTTCTGAAGGTGGTAATAGAAAAAGGAACTGACAAAATGAAAGCTCTGCTATTGGATTTAGGTCATCGTATTTCATTTACATTTACTAAGTCAGTAGCCCAGTCCTGTAGATACTCATTCGATTTATTCATTTTCAGGCTTTGCTTGCCTAAACATTTGAGCCCCAAGATGTAGCATAATCTGCTTTATAAAGTCGTTCATGTTTTAAGTATACTATGTCATGACACAGGGGTGCAGAACACAAAGCCCTTCAGAAATGCAGAATTGATTCCATGTCCTTTGGATCACAAATGACAGATCTGCCTCTTTTTAAGGACAGACCCTCAAATGAGTAAGGGCAGTGGAGGAGAACTGGTGGAGACAGAGCACTGACTTTGGAATGAGTAAACTTAGGGATCATATGTCGAGAGTTGCAATAGGGTTTTTCTGCCTACATTGAACATAGCAGCTTAGAAGCAATTTTCTAACTTCTTGTAATGTGTCTGGGGGAGGTGTTTCCATGTGTACAGTGCATTCAAATATATACCTTGCTTGTTTAGAATAAAAGCTTTCCTATCATAACTCCTTTTCATCATGGTTTGCATTCTGTCTACTCAGTACACTAGTGATATTCCCCATATTTATTTACCAATAAAGAGGTTTTGGGGTGAACCAAAGTGGAAGGAAGAAGTCAAATTGGCCCATGGAAGCATCCAGTCCTGTCACTGACCCAGGGTTCTTGATAGGAATTTGGTGGTGACCACCTACAAGAAGAATTATTTCTAAAATAGAGATGTGCTCTTCCACTTGAATGGAGGACAGTGAGCAATCTTTAACACCTGTCATATTAGCAACTCTTCACACTTTTTTGCATTTATTTATAGATTGTATAACATGCCTTCCATTCCTTTGTTGATGAGTCAATTCACATATAAGCCTAATAGTGAGACAACACAAATGTCAGAGCCCTCTCTTGGCTTGACGGATCTACTTTCTCTAAGGCACCCCTCCTTTTTCCCTGTGGCATCTACAGTCAGCTTGATAGGAGGGCATAAAATAGTAAATAAGTTGCCATGTAGTATTATTAAAATTCCTGTCAAAATAAAAAATACTGTGTGGTGGTTATGGATCAATAATGGCTGGTATTGGTTTTCTATATATATATAGAGAGAGAGAGAGAGAGAGAGAGAAAGAGAGAGAGAGAGAGAGAGAGAGAGCTATACACCCCCCCCCCCCCCCCCAATAATAAAATCACAGGCACTTTAGCATTCCTTTCTCCCTTTTGAAGATGAACATATGTCCATTGGATCTCTTTTAATCAGCTGTTACAGTTAGTGCTTCATATGTCAACAATCAGTTCCTCCATAGCCAGAGATTAAACATTTGCTGACATGGTGTAATTAAAATAGTGAAACGTTATCAGCTCTTTTTTCCTTGTCTTTTCTTCTTCACATATAAATACTTATTCGCAAGCTGTTTCTTCAGATAATATGTAAACAGAATAGGCATCAAGTGGTTAAGACTGTATCTTGTGGCAAAAGTTAATTCTTTATTGATCAGTCAGCTGCAGTTTGTTTAGCCTTTCTCCTATATCTGTTATACTTGTGTTTTGAGTGATAGTTAACAGTTAGGGAAGAGAAATTAGTTGTTTAACTTGTGTCTTAGTAGTTGCAAGACAAATTGCTTCCCCTATCATTCCAAACTGAATTTCTGTGTGTTTTCTTGAATGTAAGGATCCTTTATTCAGGGTCTTAGTGCAGCCTAAACATTCCCTTTATTAATCTTAGGGCCCTTCTAGACAGGCCCTATATCCCTGGATCTGACTCCAGCTTTTCCATTTATCCCAGATTATATGGCAGTGTGGACTCACATAATCCAGTTTAAAGCAGAAAACCTGGGATCAGAACCTGGGATATAGGGCCTGTCTGGAAGGACCCCAAGTCTACACTGCCATATAATCCACTTCAAAGCAGATAATGTGGATTTTATACAGCTGTGTAGAAGGGACCTCAAACATATAGCATGAGTAGTTCACGGTCCCTCAGCCCTTTGTGCAAGGAATGCACAGTCACATTTTGCCATGATCATGGCTGTGTTTTGCAGCCCTTGAAGAGAAAAGCTGCACGAGAACTGGTTGTCCTTAATGAAAGCTTCATAAGGCCATTGGCCTTTGTAATCTTGTGTTACTGATAATGATGTGCAGTGTTATTATTTTAGGCTTATCAGCAAGAACACTACAACTAGCAATGGGAATGGGGTACAACAAGAATATGGTTGTAGGCCAAACTTGGCATATATCTGTTGCTAGTGAACTTAGTTAACAGTTTATATGCATATTCATTTTAGTCAACACATGAATGCTTTTGTTATGCAATGAAATAAAGCTAAGTAAAATAAATTCTAAAATTGCTATGTAGATAGAGCTGCATAGAAATATTCAAATGTCTTCCAACTTTTTGTCCATTTTAATAGTAAGTATATGTTAATATATGCTTTCTCTAGGAGCCATTTGTAACACCCTTTGTCATTACTTTTGCATTATGAATTTTATTTTGTATAATAGCCAGTGTGTGATACATTCTGGAAATGCAGTTGCTAAGCTCTACTAGCAAGTAGATGTTATCCTAATGAGCAACAATTTTTCTGTATTTCCCTGTTTGTTATCAGAGTCTGCTGCATTATAGGTAGCAATAAAGATCAGTTAAACAAAAGTGTCGAAGCTGCCAAGAAGTCACATTTTGCACTTCTGTTCCTTAGGATCTCTATACAACTTTCTCAGAAACAGAGATTGCTCTTAATATCAGAAAACACACAAACCCTCCATCTGTAGGAAAAATAGGGCAATTTTAGGACCGACTAAGGGTAAATTAAGGCCACTCTTCACATCATACAAAATGTATTTTACACATCAGCAGTTGATAACCACCTAACCAAATCTATCATTTCACAGCCCCAAATGTAAAAGAACATTTCATTCTCAAGTATTGCCAGTTCCCTCTGCTCCATTTTAAAAGTAGCCATACAGTGAAACTTGTTGACAGCTATGGCTTAAGTCTCCAATACAAACTGCGTACCCAATGAATCAGTTGATGAATATGAACAAATTAACATTTATGTAAATCCTGCAGATTTAGACATATGGATGCACACCCACCCACACATTATCATTATGTCTGTGAAGTTACCTGATCTGCTATTTACTGTCTTTAAATGGTAAAGACACAGATAAACTGATGAAAACATTGAGTCATTGTGTGGCTGCTTCAAAAATGCGAAATCCATGTTGAGTATAATTAGAAAAGGATTTGAAAACAGAACGAACAATGCCATACTTTGATTAATCCATTATGCATCTACATCTGGAATACTGTACAAATATGGTCACTGCATTGGAAAAAAGATATTGTAAATCAAGAAACATTGCAGAAAAGGGTAACCCAAAATCATGAGATTTGAGGAAGTCCCTTTGGAAGAAAAGTTACAATGTTAGTGTTTAGCTTAGAAAAGTACAAGGAAAGAGATAAGCAGTCCTTGATCAAATCTAACAGGGCTCTTCTTATGTTCTTAATTTTGCCTGATTTTTCTCTTAGGTGTGAATGTTACAGATCATGATCTGACATTTAAAAGACTGGCTGAAGTTTTCCAGAATGATGTTACTCCTTTTGTAGTGTCGCTGAAGTCGAAAGAATGTCCAGGTAAATATCATAGCAACTTTTAGAGCTTTTTCAGTTGGTAAATTCCATCTGCGGTGTAAGAAGTGCCCCTCCCCCCCCCCCCAAATTAGCATAGATAGGCCCATTCCATGTTTAAGATATTTAATTTGAAGTTCCACAGATTCAGCATGGGACCTTTCACTTACAAACATCATCATCATCATATTTATTTCATCTGCCCTGACTTCCTGCATTCTTTATGCACATTTATACAGATGAATCTGTGTAAGTATTAGCATGCGCGCGCACACAGACAGACACACACCAGTCCCATTCAGCCAGGTCATCAGACTAATCCAAAATAAAATCCTGAATAGCAGTTGTTTTTCCATTCACTGCATTTTCAACCCAGGGGGACAGTCACCAAGGCTATACAAATTATTGGATTTGGAAGACAATTTGGGGGAAATCGTGCATTTTATATTGAACAGTCTGGTTTGCCTTTGTATGGGATTGTTTATGTTGGGGTATCCATGAGTAAAATTATACATAAAATCAGATAATTTTTAAAAAGTATATAGAATTTTCTTTCAGGGTGACTCTTCAGAATGTTTTATCTCCCTAAATATCTGTTTTGCATTCTGAAGGCATTAAAAACCTATTGCAGAAGGTGATGATTCAGCTAATGGGTTGCCCAATAGATATGGACTCATCTGAAGAAGATGAGTCTTCCAAGATTTCTCCAAACAGGATTCGTTACTCTGTGGCATCGCTTACTAACTGGTATAGGAGTGTAACCAAGGTCAGTTTCACTTTTCCTAATCTGTTTGTCATAACTGTTTCTCAAATTTACTATCGAGTCTGGATTTTTCTTTGCTTTGCCATAAGTGGCTAAATAATCTTCTTTGAAGCATGTCAAATCTCTTGAAGATGAAGAAGTGTCCTTGTTTGGTATCCCTTTAGAGAACTATGTCCAGGTACATCTGAGTGAGAAAGTGGATTAATTTGGAACATAATTTTAGTGTTCCCTGAGTTAGTCATAGTGTCTAACATGTTTTGTATTTATGTTTCACTACTGAGCAAGATAATATATTAATTAGACAGTAAACATTAGGGGCTCCAACTTGTGGTGTATATATCATGTTTATTGTTTTCAGAAATTGAAAATAATGGATTTTTAATGGATAGCATTTATCTAGTAATGTACACCAGGGTAGAAAATGGCTCGAGTGAATATATCATACTGTTTTGGAGGCTAGTTCTTCCATAACTTCAGCAGTTACTTGACTGACGATGGAAAAGACAGAAGACTTTTGATTTGGAAGAATTGAAGGGAGAAAACAGGGATAATTTGTGTTAACTAAGTAGCAGGTGAGATGAATTCACTTATTCTTCAACCATCTTGATTTTATTATGCTCCTCCAGGCTCAGGTTTACTGTCTGTGTGTTACCTTGTGCTATTGGGAATATTTCTTGATGTCAAAAGGGAACAGTCTATAGATGATGATGATGATTATGATGATTATTACTAATAGTAGTGGTAGTATGTTTATTTATACCCCACGTTTTCTCTCTACAAAAGTAATCCTTGCCCACAACCACTTTGGGAAAGCAGGATGAGGAGTCATTTTCATATGTGCTTATGCACATACCATTTTTCAACATACCTTTCGTAAAGAAACCTTTTGTTACCCTCCCCTTTGCCAACACTTTAGGCTTCTCACATATTTCTGGGTAAAATACAAGAAATCATATTTCTTCCTCCACGAGCCCAGCCATTTCCTGCTGCTGTAGTTTCACTTGAATTATTTTAAAAATATAAATAAATACATCATTGATCACAATGAAAGATGTAGTCTCTGTTCCAGAAAGAATTTTTGTTTTCTCTGTTCTGTGTATTATTTTTTAATGTTTATATCCCATTTTTCTTCCACAGTGCAATGCATTGTTGATTCCTATATAGCTTTAGCAAAGTCAAAATGTTTACAAGGTTGCTATCTGATGCAGGCATTCATCCTTATTTTGTTCTAGCAAAGTTCAGATCATGTTCTGGGACAGTACATTAACTTCCCTCTCTTCTATCTTCCAACACATGTGCTGTGAATCTGAAGAAAGTAGATACGGAAACACTATGCAAAAAAAGAATATTTTCATCTGAACATTGCGAATCTCCTCCAGTTGTGGTTATTTTCAAGAATATAGAAAGTTTCTCATCCAAAGTACTGCAGGATTTCATAACAATCAGCAGGTAATATGATATGGGTTTCCAAAAGAGCAGTGTTCTGTTTCACTGTATTTCCTAGATGAAATGAATGAAAAATCTTGATTTATGCTAGCCTTTTCTTTACTGTTTTTCTAAATATTTGGATTTGTTTTACCAAAAACGTACATTTTGACTGGAGCTACAGGAATGCATATAGTTTCTACAGAAATAGAAATCAGCAGAATCCTTCAAGTTTAGGCATGTTTTTCTCAGGTGTAAGTTATTGAAGCTACAGTGGTACATATATTTACTTGTTAAGTACATCCAAGTAACCTTTTGTTTGAATAGATATGCATAAAATTTATTTCTTGGTGAGCATTGAGCTACAGCCCAAAGGCATTGATAGAATTAAAGAAAATTGGAAAACACCTGAATTTCTGAATAGGAATTGGTTTGGGTTAATCAGAAGCTTACTGAGAAGTAGTGTAGAAATTTTTAAAAAACAGTTAATGAATTGACTCATGGATGGGAGAAGTTGCATGTCATTATAAAGTTTCTTTTGCGTGGTTGATTCAGGATACTTTGAGTGTTTTTCTGTGAGTATTACTGTGTGGTATTTTGTATATGGACAACAGCTTTCTTAAAGAAGGAAATAAGTATTATTTTCACACACTGGACTTTCACTGGGCTGAGTTCCCACCATGATTCCATACAAAGACAAAAATAAACACCAGTACAAAACATCATGCTCTGAGACAATGAGCTCAAAATATATGAGCCTTACTAGCTGAAGTCCTGGAGCCGCTCATAAATTTCCAGCAGTTAAGGATGTGTCTCAGTGCCCTCCAAAGCATTTTACACCTCCACACACCAGTGGAACCAAAAAATAAATAAATAAACATAAGCAAACATATGAAAATTGCCTGTCTTTGCATGATGCATTCATCTTTCACTAATGCAGGTTAATATTTAATTTTTGCTGCAGATAAGCTTACTTGCTATTTCTGTTCTATAAATCATTTTTAGTCATAACTTGCACTCTGGAACTGTTTGGGGAAAAAAGAAGAAATCTTAAATTAAAATATGCTGGTCAGCTATAGCAGGCCAACTTGTACCTGTCCAGCTGAACAGCAGCTGATTAGCAATGTTAGGATGGCCATATCAGATACCTGTCTGAAACTGCAAGTACCTGTCAAATACCTGGCAGAACACAGTATGATCTATCAAGCATCTGTTAAGTACCTGGAAGGATGCAATATAAGACTCAGCTAGTAGCATTCAGTTCTTTGTATTTCCTATTATGCATGTCTTAAACTACAATAACTAGAAAGATTTAAAGTGAGAACAAGCTGCTAAATTTGAACTGGTATTTATACTTTTTATATTTTAAAATTCCTCTGTTGGCTTGCTCTTTCATCTCATTAATATTACTCCATTGTGTTGATTTTTCATCATAGAGTTATAGTGAATGTGTATAGCCATCTGATTGTGCATATTTACATTTTTCTTTTCTCCTGTGTTTTTCTCTCATGGGCCTAAGTCATTGCATACGTGAATTTCCACTGATACTTATTTTTGGAATTGCCACTTCTCCAATGATCATCCATAAGTTGCTTCCTCACTCGGTTTCCTCTTTGCTATGTATAGAGCTCTTCCAGTCTCTGTCTTGCAAAGAGCATTTGACTAAAGTAATTGACAAGGTAATTAATTGGCTTTATTTAATTGGAAATGGAAATATGTGTTTTATTAAATAATGTGGTGCAGCTTTTGTTGTTGAAATAGCAACCTTTTAAAAAACATTTTAAGATAACGATGATTCTCTGGAACAGTAGAGCCACCCTGCTGGGTTTGCAGTATATACAGTCATTTCAGTGAAGATCAGGGCATGAAATCACTATTGAATCTGTATAGGAAGTGATAATCATTCTGATATTTAATGAATTGCAGTTACCTCCTGGTGATATAAATGCGTTTCAGCACTTTTTCAAATGCTGAAAGCGGTGTAAATGAATTCCATTATAGTACAAGAATGCCGTTTATGTGCTGTACTTCAAAGTATGCAATAAATAGAAAGAGGTGTAGGGTTTTAATACACCTGAACATTAGAAAGAACTTCCTAACTGTGAGAGCTGTTCAGCAGTAGAACTCTTTGCCCAGTGTGTAGTGGAGTCTCCTTCTTTGGAGGCTTTTAAAACAGAGGCTGGATTGCCATCTGTTGGGGGTGATTTGAATGTGATTTTCCTGTTACTTGACAGGGTGTTGGACTGGATGGCCAATAAGGTCTCTTGCAACTCTATGATTCTATGATTCTAGCTGGCATCATATTTGTGCCCCCACTGGTTCTCAACCATTGATCCTTCCAGTGTTTGGGGCTTCAATTCCCAGAAGCCTCAACCAGCAGGGTCAACAGTCAAGAATTCTGGGAATTGGAAGTCCCAAACTTGAAGAGGAAGTGTTTGAGGGGCATTGCTTTTTGAAAACATCCAGCTAAGCTGTACTCTGTGAGGAAGTAGTGATGAATTCAAGAAAAGCTTGTTATATAGTTCTGAGCTTCCAATTGAGAAACCCCCTTAAGGTTCAGAAAAGTTCTAGGCTGTCATAAACAGCAATTTGAAAACAATTGTTATGTAATCTTATTTCATGAGGAAATGAATTGATCTTCTTTTTTCTCTGTTCCAGCTACTTCTGACAAGTCAGTTTCCCTTTAAACTCAGTGAGAAAGTTCTTCAGGTACTGATAAACATATTTTTGTACCATGATTTCTCTGTTCAGAACTTCATCAAGGGATTTCAGGTAAGCAGAGATAAGAACAACTGACTATTTTTGTTCGTTAGCATGGTGTTGACCTTTCACCACCTTTTCATGATAAGAATGGTATGTCTATTTCTTCATTGGAGTTTGCGTTGTTGAATACTCCTTCAACAGAGAAATTTTGTGCTTGTAACAAAATGGAATGAGAAAAGAAAGATGGGCCCAAAGACTTTTTACTGGCATCTGCTTGCCTATTTGCAGAAAGTTTTCTTTCCCTGTGGTTAGTCTTAGAAATCACCAGCACAATCTCCAATAAGAAATGAGGTAGCAGACCTAGAAGTGGGATATTCTGGCCATTGCTAGAACTTTTGTCGTACTTCAGTAATCCAAATTTTGGGTGGCCACCTTGTTGGAAGAGGAAGAAAGCTCTTTTTTTTCTTTACGATTTTATCCTGGGGAGATAAAATCAGTCAATACTGTAGAAAGTGCAGAAGGTGATCTTTGATGCCATCAGCAGTGTCTGCCTTCCATAGAGTGATCCTCCACTCAACTCTTCTATACTGTATTTGCATAATATTGGCTACAATGACCCTGATCTTCACCTTTTTTCCCCTGGCAAAGATCAGAAGATTCATCTCTCTATCACTCTACCATGGCAACAAAAACTGAGGCAGGAAAGGTGTCTCTCCCCCTTTCACTATGCTAAGGCAGCATCACAAACCACCTCACTGACCATGTTTAGCTACAATTATTATATACTTTGGAAACTGGCACAAAAAAGATACTTTTGTATATCAACCAAAGTTAGAAAAATTGTACAGATAAGACATTTTAGTTATAATTCATAATCATATGATATCTGTGGCATGGACAGAAGTAAGAGGTAAATTCATCCTTAAAAAGCAAGAAGGGGAATATTTACTCTCTCCAACTTGCTGTCAGAAGTCATTGCATCAGCACAGGACCACTAAGGGAATTTTCCCAGAAGCAATGAACAATACAAAACAAAGCGAAAAGACATAAAAATGAAGCAGGCGGCTGTGGTTTTCTCTTATGCAGACAGGCTGTCCCATGTATTTAAATCAGAATTTCCTGAACTTATTTGGCCTACCACCCCCTTTTCAGAAAAAAAATGTGAGTAGCCCCCCCATCCCAAATCTATGTTCTTTAAACAAACAGAAAGATGCAGTGACAAATTTGCGGTCTTTTATCTATCTATATTTTCACCTATGTCCTACAACACGGTAAAGGAAGATGTGGAAAATAAGACACCTTGGAGCTTGAAATTATTAAACTATTTATTAAAATCAACCATAGTAATATTCTTATTACACACAGAAAATTAAGAATTACAAATAACATTTTAAAAAATTCTAATGAGAAGGATGAACCTGGTGTGCTGCTATCAATTTATTAATGTTCGGCTATATCTTTGTCAACAGCATAAAATACATTCTTTAAAACTTATTGTCTTGCACTATTGTTACCTGCTCTTTGTAATAAATCAGAAACAATCTAAATTAGAATAGATATGTGTGAGCTAAAGCCCCCTGGTTGTGCAGCAGGTTAAATTGCTAAGTTGCTGAACTTGCTGACCGAAAGGTTGACGGTTCGAATCTGGGGAGCGGGGTAAACTCCTGCTGTTAGGCCCAGCTTCTGCCAACCTAGCAATTTGAAAACATGCAAATGTGAGTAGATCAGTAGATACCGTTTATGCAGGAAGGTAATGGCACTCCATGCAGTCATGCTGTTCACATGACCTTGGAGGTGTCTATGGACAATGCTGGTTCTTCGGCTTAGAAATGGAGATGAGCACCACCCCCCAGAGTTGGACACGACTAGACTTAATGTGAGGGGGAAACCTTTACCTTTATGTTTCAGCTATTTAGATTATCATATTGAAAGAATGTATTACACACAAATCCTGCTGATGCATGCTCTGAGTATGTGTGACCTGCTCATCTTCCAACACTTGCTTATTAAGACATGTTGGCAGACTTGACTCCACTGATCAGTTATAAATTGTATTTTGTGTGTTCATTCAGACAATAAAACAATCACTATGACTTTATCTGTATGTTGCATAACAGATGAAACATGCGCAAATGGGATTTTTCCCCCAAATTTTTCTTTTATGTTTCCACCACCCCCCCCCCCATTTTTATTCAGTACCCCCAATTGCTCCTCAGGTTACTACCACCTCCCCCAGATCATTCCAGGGTCCCCCAGGTGGCAATATTGCCCATTTTGGGAAGCACTGATTTAAATAGAGTCAGCAGTTCAACCCAGTGCTTCCATCTGTAACTCTGCTTTCTACTATTAAATCAACAAGGAAGCTGCTGTAGACATCAAAGCTTCATGCAAATAATCAGGTTTTTGCACTTAGAACACATTGTTCAGATCTAATTTCTGGTTTAACTGGGTTCCTGGGTATGAGTGTCGCAGTGCTGAAGTAAAACACCAAGGATTTGTCTGACTGAATAATCTCACACGCTGAAAATGGAATTTACAGGATGTGTTGATGCAAAATGATAAATCTGTTAAACTGCTGAAGTGCCTGTAGAGCAGTCTTTCAACAGAATTAAAGTGGAGGTGGGATGATATGCATTTCTGTGGGATAATATGTATTATGTCTGCTCAGTAACATCTCATTATCTCTCAAAATGCCACAGATTTTGATCTCAATAAATTATGTTAGTAGTCTAATCAGTAAATCCATCGTGGAATTTATGGCTTATTGAAAATGCATTTTATTACTAACTGAAGGATCGAATCAGCATACATTTCCAATGTGCTTCAGATCTCAGAATCAGAGTACATTTTGTTTCTACAGCTGTCTCTTCTGGATCATTTTTATTCCCAATCACTCAGTGTGCTGTGCTGTGAGATTCACAAAGCTAAGAAGAGAGTTGATTCTTTATCACACAATCAGTGTGAAAATATTCGAAGACTGCCGTCTTTTAGAAGGTAAAAGATGACACCGCCAACAAAAAGAATGTTTATTGGTGTCTTGGTTTTTAGGCCTGCACCTGGGGTTCCTTGGGGTTCTGATTCACAAAATTGCATTGGTTAGACCGCATAAGCTCTTGTTTCTTAGATATGGTTATCATGGTTTTCTGTAGGCAAACAGATGAAGACTGGTAGAGGGCATATGTTCTGTGTCTCAAAAACTAGAGTGGATAGGACAAAAGTTATGCCATTTTTTGTTGGAGATAAGAACGTTCTCAAGCCTCCTTTATTTGATGTTTGTCTGTGAATAATCTGTCGTTTTATTTCCTGAAGTGTATGTCGTCTTTGGTTTGCAGTTTCCTTAGCTCTGTGTATTTGAGGCAGTGGGAGGGGCTGCAGAATGCAGGTTAAAAAGGGTGACACTTGAGAAATGACAGTTGAGCCTTAAGTTAGCTTGATGAAAGTTGAGCCTTAAGTCAGGTTAAGTACAGAAATCTGTTTCAGTCAGATGTCAGTGTAGGAAGTTTGAAAACGGTTGGTGCTTGAATTTCTTTGAATGTAGATTTATGAAAGAGATCTGTACAGAGCAATATAGTTTTTGTAGAGATTAAAGACAATACATTAAAGATACAAACTGAAAGTTTTAAAGTTTACCCTGATAAAAAATGTGCCTGTATCTTTAAATACATGAAGTTATGAGTAAACAAACATGTTATTTTAAAGAAGTCTACTTGAATCTTTGTCTACTGAGAGTATCAAATAGAAACAAGATATTTACATCCCTAGTGACATCCATTATCTAATAAACTAAAGGAACACTTCCAAAACTCTGCTACCCCATAGGTTATGATCCTAACAGGTCATAATCCATATCCTAATATTTTTGGAATCAGCAGGTCAAATATAACCAGAAACAGAGCTAACATTTTAGGCACCAAAATGTGGCCAGTGTTATATTATGCTGTTGTATGCAAATGTGTCTCCAGTTGGAATGCATCTAAAATGTGTATGCATAATTATATGTGAACTTAATAGTTGAGTATGATATTAATTCAGGCTGGGAGGTTGCAGAGGTACTGCGTAGAGCCATCTGTAAAGCTTTGAGCCTCTTTTAAAAGAGGAAAAGTAGGCAAATCATAATAGTTTTCGTTTGTCCTAAAAATGGTCATATTCCATTGCATGGGGAACACAGGACAGTCACTGTGCTATCTGTGCTGAAGAAGCAAGCTTCATTTTAAATTGAAAATCGATTTGCTTTTGGAACAGCTTGTTATGGGGAATGCTCTAGGCATGCAGATATGCTCTCTTGTATACATGAAATCAAATGTTTTCCAGATACACATCCCTGTAAGAGATCTTAAAATAACTCATGTTCAAAATGACGATATGCAAGAATCAAAACTGTATATATATAATGATCCTATTCAGGAAGAACACAAACTATATTATGGTAGAGTTTCCTAGATGGCAAACTGTAAGTAAATAAAGCTGATAACTAGATGGTATAAGTGCTGTTATTTTAGAATGAGGAAATAGTATAAAACTGAGAGTTTTCTAAGTCTTCTCAGAGCTAAGCAAAGAAAAGGTGAATTGCTGGGTTATTTTGTCAGAGTTCTAAAAAAAAAAAAAGTCAAGTAACAGAGGTCTTTGGAAGTCAAGACCAGGCCTTAGGAAAAGCGTAGGCTGGAAAGGCTTCGAGGGCTCAGATACAGTGAATTCAAGTTGAAATGAGGTAGGCAGGGCTTCAGATTCTTCTCTGTGATTTCAGTGCAAAGAATTGAATAAGAGGAAGCAGAATAATATTTCAGTATTCACTCAGTGATATGATTTGTATCCCTATATCTTTAATGCTGGTAGTTAATGCAGCCACATTCTTTATTTCCAGCCAGTGGATTCTTTATTAGTGATTTAGTCAAACAAGCTTTTCCATTTATTGGTATGAAACCCTACCTGTCCTGAGATGACAGCTTCCAAGTTCTCAACCATTTTATATAGATATTCTAACATAACCAACAACTCCCTGTTTCCTTTTTCATACACACTTATATGAATCCTTGCAAGAACTTCAGGCAAACACAGACACTCTGCCAACACAGTATGAAATAAAATCGTGCATTTTCTTGTCTTTCAGTAGTTGGCCTGTGTGCCTTCCCTACTGTAAATCGCCTCAGCTTCTTTATCTCCTTTCATTTTTCATTGAATATGTCCTTGCTGTTAATCATCCTAGTCCTTCTGGCTGCTGTTCTGTACCTCAAATGACTACCTTTTGGGAGTGCTTTGATTGTGTGTTGCTGCATGGCAGGGGATTGTCCTTGGGGTCTCTTCCAACTCTACTTCTTTGAAACGCCATAGCAATGGTATTGGGATGGAGAAGGGCCTCTCAACCCCAACTGGGACTTAGTCACAATGGACCAGTGCTGAGTACATTAATTCAAATTTTACAATATTATCATCAAGTAAGAAAGCCTTTGAAAACAATATTATGCATATTTTGAAACTAGCCTTTTCCCCCCTTTCTTTAGATTTGTTGAAAGTCAGGTATCAAACAAGCAGACTATACTACTGACAGATGATGAAGGCCTAAAGGTACATTTTTAAATTGAAAAATTGAAATATTTAAGAAAGAAGGATAATATTTTAAGCCCTTTAAAAAAAAACCCTTGCCCTAACAGTAATTTTTGCACGAAGAATTGGGTGGGATTGGTTTTTAATGTATTTGTGTTGTTTTGATCGTTCTATGCTTATGTTTTGCATTCTCTGTATGTTGGTGTTTTGCTATTTGGAAACCGCTCTGAGTCCCCTAGGGGAGATAGAGCGGTACATAAAGTTTTATTATTATTACTACTATTATTACTTTTTATTATTATAATAGAGAGACTACAAGGCTTGTGAAACCCATGGACCGTTACCCCTTTCTTTTGTTCCACATGGGGAACCAGTAATGTTCCACATGGGAACCAAAATGGTTAAAGGTCTTAGAATGTGCTTTGGAGGTTTTTAAACAGAAGCTGGATGACCATCTGATGGGAGTGCTTTGATGGTATATTCCTGTATGGCCTTTGGGGTGTCTTCCAACTCTGTGAGTCTATGAATGTCCCCTCTCTGCACCGCATCCACCACCATATATCTCATTACTTCTTCAGCACATGCTATGATGTAATGAAGACTTTTGGTTGACCTAATGAGGAAGATATCTCAATTAAGTATAGCAAGCATATGAAGGAAAAGTACAAGTGCAAGACGTGCAAGTGGCTTGTTTTCATGTGTTAACCAGTTCACTTACTGAGTAGATTTGCCACTGGTGAACTTTTGTAGAATCCTTACAGCCAGCCTAGCACAGTACCTTTTACTGAGAAATAACTGACTGTAGCAAGATTTACTTTCAGTTGTAGAATATCAGTTTTATATTCTTATAGAGTGAGAGAAATTATGAATGTTAACAAAGCAAGATTGGCATTCGGAATGATACATAAATTTCTGTCTGCTTGACATGAATTCTTTCTGGTGTGCCCAGTTCTTTTCCCTTTTTCCCTGTCTTTTGAAGAAGTAAAAAAGTATGAAGCCAAGCGGAACAAAAACCCCAACAGACACAAGTAATGCGGAATGTATTTTTAAAAAGACTTAAATCTAATGTGCATTAAAATGCTGCCCTGCTATCTTACAAGTGAAGGATTATTTCTGAAAGATCAGGCACCACCTCTTCCTAAGTCTGTGGAGATTTGAGTTCATCTTGAATGGCTGGAAATCACTCAACCATGGAAAGATAAAGTAGCAAACAGCAGTCAAAGCACCAATAACTCAGTGCTGCATTTTTCTAACTTGAAAAGGCTTTCATAAAGCTGGATTAAATCTCCTTTCTTTGGGAATTGTCATATTTTATTTCAAAGTTATAGCAACAATTGAGGATAATCGAAAGTCCTGTCAGAAGTATCCCAATGCCATCAAACAAAAGAACCTAGCACAAAATCATCTGTCATATGTAACTGCAAAATATGAGGGAAATGTCATACAAATTGATTTTTACCTTAAATTTGGAAAGGCCTGAAGATCTCACAGAGTGAAATATGTGTGATAGAAGGATATAACCTCAGTTCTGCAACACAAGAACTAATTACCATCTCTTTAGAAGGCCAGGATTTTTCCAGATTTTTTTATTGTTGTGACACTAAGCCTTCTGGCTCATATCAAAGATATATGTAGTCAGTTACTCCCTAGACACAGAGAACCATTATAAGGATTTGAAAAATGTCCACACTTTTAATTTTATCTTTATAGAAAGAACAATGAGATTTGTTCTAGCAAGAAGAACAAAATTAGCTTCCAGTCTGTCAGGTGCCAAGAGATAAGGTTTGGCTTATCCACATATGCCACAGCTTGTTCAAGTTGAGCTAAAGTTATCTTGAAAACAAATGAGGTTAGCTGTGTATTATGCACTAGATCTCAAGAGATGTATAACTTGCCAATACTAGCATGAATTACTGGCACTGCATCTTGAAAACTGGGTTTTTGAATTCACAGATGCTTGTTCTAAAATAAAACAGACTAGTCTTAAAGGTGCTGGTACTTCCTTTCGTTTTTCTCCTCTATGGTGTAAAAGAAAATGTTATTGGTTAACCACTGTTTCTGTGTTTTCATAGTCAAGGAAAGCTTAGTGTTTTATCTAAAAGTTGAAAACCATGTAGGGTATAGCTGCAAAGTTTTGTTTCTTTTTCATGTCAGAAGCAACTTGAGAAACTGCAAGTCGTTTCTGGTGTGAGAGAATTGGTCATCTGCAAGGATGCTGCCCAGAGGACCCCTGAATGTTTTAGCATCCTCTGGGAGGCTTTCCTCATGTAATCACATGAGAAGCTGGAGCTAATAGTTGGGAACTCACCCCGCTCCCTAGATTCAAACCACGGACCTTTCAGTCAGCAGTCCTGCCGGCACAAGGGTTTAACCCATTGTGCCACCGGGGGCTCCAGCTGCAAAGTAAGAGCTTTAAAATGTTTACCTAAACAGCTGCAAAAAAAATAGCTCTCAGAAGCTGAAGCAGCTAAAATGAGATTACTCTGGTCTCTCATTACATGGCAGAATAGGAGGGGAGACTGAAGCCCAACCAGTTTCCAGCTACGAGTATGTGAAGCCAGCTAATTCTCAGCCCCATTTATCTCTTGGAATACCATGTCAGGGTGAATAGTTCAGCATCTCAGGAAGTGCTCTGGTTATCTTATTTGCAGTAAGCTAACCTTCTGAGGCCCATTATAGGCTCCATCACTACAGCTATGAATTGTTTATATATTTATGAAGGTTTTTCCTTGAGATGGTGCCTCATGTCCACTACAGGGATGTTGCTAATCCTTTTAAACAGATTTTTTCTGCTACTGTTTGTACTAGAAAGGCAGCCAGACAGAATTTATTTAAATACCAAGCCACTCGTTTTAGCCTTCATCACTTCAGGAGTGATTCAACACAAATTTTCTATAAAAGCTTTGAAAATAGTTGAAAGTTGCTACAAAATCCAGAATTGTGTTTGTCAGATGTTTAAAACCCATCTTCTGCCTTTTAGGCCCATGGCTTTCTGTAACTTTACTGTAATGCTAGAAGTCCTCTGTTGACAGCTGTAGTGAGTACTAATCAGGTTCCTTCTTCTATTTTCTTTATTATTTTAGGAAACTGTACATGCTTTGCTGCAAAACCTACATACTTACCATGAAAATTATTTCCCAGTTTTACGTTGTCTTCATGCTTTTACATCTTCTCTTCCAAAGTATCCATTAGGAAAACAAGTATGTATACTTTTGAGATCTTGAATATTTACAGCAAAAGAGAAAGGAAAAAGGAGGAGGCAGTCATATTCCTGGTGCTCTCCCTTCAGCAATCCAGAGGTTATTCAGTAGAGTCCAGGATGTTGCATGTATTATATGCGCACACACATGTCTTCGGTTAGTTTTGCTCATCAACAAAAAAGCCAAATTGTTTTTAAGATCTGTCTTGTGTGGATATTGACTCCCCCATGTTTAATAGTGAGTTTTGGAAGGAAATTGTCCTACAGTAACATAGGACTCCTTACTGTAAACATTTTTTTGTGTTTCTAAAACATTCTTTTCTATATACAGATAAGGGAATTGTACTGTGAATGTTTGGAGAAGAAAGTGTGGGAAACAGAAGAGTATGAATCTGCCATTCAGCTGGTGAGGTAGTCTTCTTTCCATTTTCTTCTTGTAGTTTCGCCATTTATAATGCATCAATTTACTATTCCAAAAGAACCCAGAGCTTTTTAAAATTTTGCCAAACAGGATATTTTTTAGGTTCTTGTAGGTTTTTTCGGGCTATAGGGCCATGTTCTAGAGGCATTTCTCCTGACGTTTCGCCTGCATCTATGGCAAGCATCCTCAGAGGTAGTGAGGTCTGTTGGAAATAGTCCAACAGACCTCACTACCTCTGAGGATGCTTGCCATAGATGCAGGCGAAACGTCAGGAGAAATGCCTCTAGAACATGGCCCTATAGCCCGAAAAAACCTACAAGAACCTAGTGATTCCAGCCATGAAAGCCTTCGACAATACAGGATATTTTTTGTCACTGGTGACATTGTTGTAGAAAAAGAAAAGTTTTTAATTTACATTTCTGTTCTTTATAGTGGGCTTGCTGAATGGAACACATAGACAAACCAAACTGCTTTCTTAAAGGAGTTCCACACAGCAATCGTGGCTCCCCTCTACACTATTTGATGCTATAAATGTTCCCCTGAAATAGGTTAAAGCTGAAGAAAAGTGACTGGATTCTGACTGGGCATTTGAACCCGATCTTCCTTTCTCTGTCACCTTATTTACGATTATACCACTCGGACTGTTGCTTTTTCTTCCTCATTGTTGAAAGAAAGATTTAACTGACAGTCAAGTTGACCTTTGTATATGGAATCTGCCTAAGAATTGACCTATTTGGTATGCTGTAGGGTTTACCTATTCCTGTTTGTCACTTATATCAGAAGTCAGCAGGATTGCTTTCTTACCGAGAGGGGCCCTTTCTAAGTAATGTTTGTATGGTACTACAGTGGAGCTGAATTAAAAGGGAGTTCTTAGTTTCTTAAATAGGCTTCTTTCTTTGGATTTGGAGCTACAATCTGATGACAAATTTATTCATTCACCACCACGTTGGCATTTCTACTAGCAGGCATGCTGCCAGATCTAGCTGTTCTGGCTGGGGTTGCTTTGGAATTTGCTTTAGTAGGGATAAAACAGATAGGGTGGTGTCATGTTGTTGCAGATGGAAAGAAATGACAAGGGAAAGGGGCTAAGCAGCCTCCGCTAGCATAGCACTTCTTTGTATCCTCAGCTTGTGACAGAAAAGATGTGTAGGCTGAGATGTATGAATCAGCACAAATCCCCATGAGCCTGCTAAACAAAGGGAAGAAACATGGGCATAAATGCACAGTTATATAAATAATTAAGCACCCCATTTTTGCTGAGAATCAGTACCTTCCTTCACTCGAGCATTATCAAGGCCATTATTTAAAAATCTGCAAAACAGGTGAATAATTTTCAGACCTTGGTTTTGTATTTCTTACTATCAGTTGCTGTGCTGTTATAGGACAAACACCACACTTTCAGGTCATTAGAAGCCCTTGTCTCCAACCATGAACTTATCCTGCCAGTTACTAATGCAAAGCACAAACCAGCATCAAGTTTCAGGAAGGTTCATCAGGCAAGATGCATAAGGAAATATAGAACAAAATAGTGTGCCTTTTCTTGTCCCACATACTGCATCTTCCACATCTGGATTTGGGCTTGAATTACCAAGGCAAAGCGTGGGTTGTAAACAAACACAGTTCATTACATTGTTTTCACAATGTCACTCCTGAACAGGGGACATGTCTGTCAAATCATGAACCTTAGCTTCCAGTTTCCTGGCTTTGTGGAGCATGAGCTAAAATGTGAGCATGAACTTTGAACTTAAACAAGCAGGCTTATCCTTATTCTTATCAAGAAAATGTATCTACTTAAAATGATTTTAACCCACACATTCATGTGGCTACAAATTTAGAATAATAACAATATAAAGTTTGTAGAGACCACACGAGGCCATCCAGTCTAGCCCTCTACCATGCAGAAAAGCATGATCAAAATATCGCCTTGAGTCGCCCATAGGCTGAGAAAGGCTGTATACAAATATAGTAAATAAATAATACCCCTGACAGATAGCTACCCAGTCTCTGTTAAAAATCTTCCAAAGAAGGAGTTTCTGCTAGACTCCAAGGCAGAGAGTTCCACTGGTGAACATCTCTAATGGTCAGGAAGTTCTTCCTAATATATTCAGGTGGAAACTCCTTTCCTATAATTTGAACCAATTTCTTCAAGTCCTAGTCTCCAGGGCAGCTGAAAATAAGCCTACTTCCTCTTCCTTTTGACTTAATTAGTTGGTTTGTGTGTATGTGCAATGTTTTTAAAAATGTTGTTGGGGTTATTTTCTTTCAGGATGATGGCCAAGGATGAGTTAGTGGCCATTCTTGAAAAATGTGTAGAGATTCTTAAATCCTCTCCTGCAACACAACCAGGAAACTCTTTAGAGAAATTCGAAGAGTACCTGAGTCAACTTCAACATCCTGAAGGTATTTATTAAACTGCTAATTTGTGTTGTAAATTTAATTTCCACCATCACCCCCTAATTAGTCACCAAAGATATTGATCAACCGAAAAACATCTTCCGTAAATATAGAGCATTCTTATAACTAGTGTGTTTTGAATAAATTATACAACATGCTTCCTTAAAAGTGTATTTTCTCACTGTGGATTGCTTAGACTGGATATACACTGCCCAGTATCCCAGAATCAGATCCCAGATTATATGAGTGAACACTGCCAGATAATCTGGGATAAGAAGATAATCTGGGATATAGGAAAGTGTAGATCCAGCCTTAGAGTTTCATGGGGCCCTTCCACACAGCCCTATATCCCATAATATCAAGGAAGAAAATTCCACAATATCTGCTTTGAGCTGGGTTATCTGAGTCCACACTCAGATAATGTGTGATTTTCTGTCTTGATGTTTTGGGATATAGGGCTGTGTGGAAGGGCCCTTAGATTGAAAACCAAAATAGAAATGGGCAGTAGAAAGAGCTCACAGTAGAAAAGTAGAAAGTCCAGTTGTATCCCATCTGCTGACAAAACATGGGTTGATCCAGTAAAGGGTTCAGTAAATGGAAAAGCTTCGTGTTGACTTATTTCTCCCCTGTCTCTGTAACTTCCTATGTATACCACAGGCTGCTCCAGATAGATAGGGGTCTTTTGAAATAATGTGAGAGGTGAAACGAAGTGAAGAAAAAAATATGTTTTAAAATCATCCCCACAGCCATACCTTCTGCTCTTAAAATCTCGACTGAATTAAATTGCTGCCTGGGACTTAGCAACACAATTCTACAAATTTACCAGAATTCCAAAATATTTTGGTAGAATAATAATGCAAGTACTAGACCAGAAAGTAATGGAAGAATGCTGATCTTCCTTGTGGACTCTGTCTCACAGAAATTGGTAGATCTGTGTCTGTTTGTGTAAGTTTACAGACGACTGCTTGAAGAACCAATTATTTCAGCAACTTGTGGTCTTTGCCACACACAGATAGGTGCAAAATGATCCTTCTGGGTGAGTCCACAGGTGACACTCAAAGAACCAGTTACGAGTAAACACTTAATTCTTCTGATTGTCAGACACTCCTTAGCAAAGCATAATTGTATCCTATGAGACCAAAGAAACAAGGGGCTCTCCGTGTTTACCTTTGCTGTGCTCATGTGTGCGATTTGTGGGGAGGATCAGCAGGGGAAAAGAAGCACACAACGCTTCCCTTCCCTCTCAGTCCTCCCTTTGCAAAGCCTTGCCCATTTCCCTTCAACCGCTGCAGAGGCCAGAAATGAGCCTGATTAGGAGAAAAAACTACCTCAGGGAGAGGTTTTCTTTCCCCGTGGCTCTTTTCTGCCTTGGATCCATCAAGAATGATGCACAAACTGAAGGAGGGGATTATTTTGAGCTGTAAGGAATATAGGTTCTATGGGAAGATTACATGAATTAGGGAGCTGGCAAACATGGGGTTTAAATATATTAAAGAGCTTAATGTTGAAACCTTACAGTTGAGGGCTCAAAAATGTGGGAAGAGGATTACATATATGTGGGATGTTGAGAGCATTTGAAGAGAGAGCCCTGTTATTTGCAGCATTAACAGGAACAGGTAGAAATCAAAGATGAATAGATCAGGAAGTTGTTGTCAAGCTCTGTTTTATTTTTATTGGTACTTTTGTTTTAATTTGGCAAATCTCTGCTGCCTGAGGCTTTAGGAAATAAGCCTCTTTCCTGTCTTATAGATTTTACATGAGGGCAGTTGTGGGTGGGGGATGATGAACCAGAAGTGAGTACATGCGTGTTTGTGTTAGTTAAAAACAATAAGTGAAGGCTCAGTGGAATCCAACGGAACTGAGCTGTTTTGTTTCAGAGAACATGTCCAATAAGACTTAATAGGAGATTAGGCGAGGCTGAGGGATTTCACAGCCTTGCTGCATCTTATCTTTTATTCTTTAATTCCTAATCTTCTCTTGTTTGACTGCAGAAGGCTGTTATAGGGGGAGAAAGATAAAAGGGCTTGAAAGTTTCTCAGGACATAGTGGAGTTAGATTTGTTTTTCTGCAATAGAATAGCCTTCTCTCCAAAGAAAACTAGATTCTAACAAAGACTTTGTTAGAATTTAACAAAGGAGGTGGGGAAATATTTTCTTTCTTATTCATGGAGCCCCCGGTGGTGCAGTGGGTTAAACCTTTGTGCCGGCAGGACGTTCGAATCCGGGAAGAGCGGGTTGAGCTCCCTCTGTCAGCTCCAGGTCCCCATGCAGGGACATGAGAGAAGCCTACCACAAGGATGGTAAAATATCAAAACACCCGGGCGCCCCCTGGGTAATATCCTTGCAGACGGCCAATTCTCTCACACCAGAAACACCTTGCAGTTTCTCAAGTTGCTCCTGACATAGAAAAAAACCCAAAACCACTTTAACCAATTCCACATCTCACATCCTCTCAACCCAAGGAATAGCATGGGAGGTAGTCCACCGAAAAAATGGGAAGTGGGAAAAATTGCTCCCTCATCCCTTTTAATAGCAGAATTCAGCCCAGGGTTTTCTAACTTCCCCTTTTCTTCCTTTTCTTTCTTTGGATAATCAGTAGCAACAGATTTTACCCACCATTTTTAGTGTCCAAATCTGACCTCTTTTTTTGTTTTGAGAGCAGAAGTTAATGAAGCTCAAGAGACGTCTATACCCTCATTAAAAGAACTTCAGAAGAAGACAGATCTTTATCATCTCCAAAAGGTCAGCACACTTAAGAGCTAGCCATTGACTTGTGAAAATGTTACTAGTCTGCAGACTGGCCAGATTAACTGGCACATATAATTAGCAACTGTAGAATTAAAATTAACAAAAAAGAGAGATCTTAATGTGAGCACAGTTCTTGTAGTCTTGAAATACCAGCACAGTTCACGATTGTGTGAAAAGATGAGGGTGTTCCCTGAACCCACATTTCTATTCCTCATTGGTTCTTTTCTTGTCAGAATATTCTAAGCGTAAGACAGTGCTTAACTACTCAGCTTTGCTTGGATTTGAACCTGCAATGCCACCCCATGTTTGGGCGATAGGAGCTTTAGACTACAAAAACAAAATACACATATATTGAAAGGGGGGAATACCTGGCTCAGTGGTACTACGTGTGAAAAAGAAACTGGGATTACTGTTGAGCTAAAGCAGTGGTTCTCAACCTGTGGGTCCCCAGGTGTTTTAGCCTTCAATTCCCAGAAATCCTAACAGCTGGTAAACTGGCTGGGATTTCTGGGAGTTGTAGGCCAAAACACCTGGGGCCTACAGGTTGAGAACTACTGATCTAAAGTTCAATGCTAGCTCTTAGACTGGAAAGTTCCCTTTGCAGCATATCTGTTCTCTGAAATAGTTTTGCTGCTGACTGCTCTGCTAGGAAGCATTGGTCTCGCATGAGGTCATGCATTGTAGGTTCAGCATTCTCTTTAGCTGCTGGATGAAGTCTGCCAGACCTCTCTTTAAGAGTGTTTATCATTTCTTTGTGTGGAGATGATTGTCTTTTCAATGCTGGAGAGGGAGTCACTTCCATTAGACCTGGGTCAATGGACCAATTAGCAGCACCTTCGTTAAGGGAGAACAGAAATAGATTCTGTTTCATCACCATCATCTCTGGCCTCCATTGTAGTGTAAACAGTCTTTATGATACTTGCTCTGTCAAATGTGGTGGGATTTGTGTATTCTTGATTCAACTGGTGCTCACTTGCTATTAATTCTTTCTCAGAATTTTTGGGGTCATAGTATTCTAAAATTGACTTTTGAACAAGAGTAGGCAGAGTTTTAAGAGCAGAGGCTTTACGTAACTGGGTCCGTGTAGAGACCATCCTATGGCTTTGAAAGTTTAACTATGCCTAAAATCAAAATTGTTTCATGCTCCTGGGCTTTGTACAAAAATGATGCTGCTTTTACTTTCAGGTATTAAAAAGCAGGAAAATACATTCAAGATATATGTCTTGTTGAATTAATAATTAAGATAATAAAATTGTAAAATTGTAAAATAGTAAATAGTAAAATTGTAATATTGTAAAATAGTAAATAGTAAAAATAGGAAGAATTATAAAATTACCTAGATATTAAAAATTCTCGATGGGTTTGATTGTGAAATATAAAAATCTATGTAAATGTCAGAGTTAGAGCAAATCCCAGTGTCAAGGTGAAATCCAGGCAGAGCAATGGATAGGGTACTTTCACTAACTGGCAGTCTTTTGTGTCAATCACTTCTTCAGCGAGAAGTCAGCTGAATGTTCCCTTGAACTTCAGTCTCTGTCTTTCTTTGTTTGATCTAAAGTTAAATGTGAGCCCATTGTGTAATGCTGTAGCAAAAAAGGCAATACTATCTCAGCCTGCATTGAATGACACATAGTTATTTTAGTCGAGGGAAGTAATAGTGGTTCTTTATTATGTGCTAGGCAGGCCTCATCTGGAGTACTGTGGGCCTCATTTTAAGAAGAATATAGACAAGTGGGAACAAGTTCAGAGAAAGGCAAAAAGGAAAATAAGAGATATGGGGAACAAAACATATGAAAAGAGCTGAGCATATTCAACATGGTGAAGAGATCACAACCTTTAAATACTTCAGGGGTTTCACGGAAAGGAAGAAGTAGGCTTGCTCTCTTCTGCCTCAGAGGGTAGAATTAGGTCTAATGGTTTTAAGTTACAAGGGAGTAGAATTTGGCTGAACATGAGGAGGAACTACTCAGTAAGAGTAGTTTTTAATGGAACCAATTGCCTAGAGAGATTGTGGGGTCTCCTTCAAAGAGAGGCTAGACAGCTACCTTTTTGGGATGTTCTAGTTGGAGATCCTATGGTAAGCAAGGAGTTGGACTTGGTGGCCCACAGGCCCCCTTCCAACTCAGTTGATTCTGTGGCTTCATTGTCACAACAACATTGGGAAGTAGATTAGCCAAAGCCGGCTCAGAGTAAAACAGGGAATTTCTTGGCTTAATGGGGACTAGAATGTCAGGCTAGAATCCATACATCATTCCATTATTTTTAATATTGGCAAAATAAAAACTATTGCTGCTAAGGAGCACAATATATTAGATAACTACAACTAATACTCTTTGTAATTATCTTCCATTGTTTCAGTTGAAAAATCCAATAACCTCATTAGCTTTGACAGGTGATAAGTTAATATTTGCGTATTAACTTGGAATCCTCTTTTTTGTTTTGCATTACTTTTGCTTTAGACTTTGTTGGAGATGAAGGAATCGAGAAGACTTAAGAAACTGACAAAATTTGAAATGCTCCGTTTTGAAATAGTCGACTTTGTAGATAGCCTTGTAAAGTAAGTATTACAATTTTAAAATATGCTTTTAAAGTGTTTATTTAAATACTCTCATTCCACTAGAAGACAGCGCCCAAGAAGGCATTAGCCCAGTTTGCATGGTTCATTTGTGTCAGTTGGTCAACAAACACTCAGATCATATGTGATGAATCATGGTTGTGGGACCAATAATTGGTCCATGTGTGCGTATCTGTCTCCTTTCCATCCTTTATCACTTTTTTCATGCTCTTTAGTTGAGTAATTCTAGACTTCATTAAATTATAGGTTCCCATGACATCTGAATTGAGAAAATGTGATTGAAAGTTATATCAGCTGTGATTGCTTAACTGTGGCTATCCCTCTCTTGTCCTTTTGTCAGGCAAAAGGGCCTTTTTATTAAGGAAGGCTTTTAGCAAATGACTGGGTGCTATAAAATGAGCTTTTTCCAAGAGAAGGGGAAAGGTGTATGGCAGCTACTAATATCTAGAATGGAATTTGTTTTACTTTTTTATGTTTTGGAATAGATTTTAAACTCATGTAAAGGTTTCTTTCTTCTTTGTGTCGATTGGTCAACAAGATTACCTTATTGGTGGGCTTTAAATTCTTGCTTTGTCTTGGTTTTCTGGCCAAATATCAAGCACTTGGCCTTTGAAGCTTTAAACTAGAAGGAGGCTATCCAAAGGCGGTCCATATCCATATAAGTCTCCCCAAGCTCTGCCATCAGCTTCAGAGGCCTTGTGCGTTAACTGTTCACTAACAAAGGTCAAGATTGCCAGTACTGGAGGAAGCACCCTTTCAGTATTTGTAGAGCTCCATCCCCCCAGGAAGTATTAGGGACCACCATTTTTTATTTGAAAAACTCTCACAAGGTGTTTCCATTTCTATTTGATTTGATAATGCTCATTTGAAATGGATGTAAATGGGGGTTGATTTTGAAAGTTTGTATAGAATCATGTTTTATATGGATTTTCTTTACTCCACTGTCTTGTTCCAACAACATCCCATGAGAGATGCAAAGTTAATTATTCAATAAATAAATGCAGAAAATGATTGCAGCTGGTGGGAAACAAAATGATGCACTTCCAAATTGCAGTAGTGTCTGCAAACTAGAGTTGCATTGTAGTCTATTTGTTCCATTGAAGGCTCCACGAAAATAGAAAGTGGCTTTAAGAACCTGAAGGGGTGTTATACTTTCATAGAAGGAGGCAGAGGATAAAGTGAGCATGAAAGCAAAATAAAGCAGAGATGGAAGGGATAAATATAGTGCAGAATTCTCCAGTCTAATTGGATATTCATCCACTTGCATTTGGAAGAAAGACCAAACATTAACAATCTGGTATTGAGGCAAGTCAACATTTTATAGCCGACTTCTTCCAAATTTACATTGGGGAAAAATATTTCTCCCCCTTTCCCTTTTTACATTTAGGGTACTATATCATGATTGTTATATAATTACGGAGCAGAATACAAAATGTCTGTGCCTTTGATGTTATGTTTATAACATGAAGTTAATCTTGGTTTGTATTTTTCTTAATCCTTCCCCTCCCCCCGTGGTGCTTTTTCAGAAAGTATCTTGTACCTGTAGAAATGCAGACATTGCATGAAGTGATGTACTTCAGTGCAGCCAATACTCTTCGTGAACATTTGAATGCTGCCCCCCGTGTTGCTCTTCACAATGCTCTCAACAATCCATATTTCTATCTGAAGGTAAGGAACTGTGAAATGGTAAATGTTTCCATGGCATATTTATATCAGGTGTTATTTATCATTATTGTTGCTTTCCATGTCTGAAGTTGGCCTGCATTGGTTTCCTTCATTGGGCTCAATGTGACAAGTCCCACAGCATCTTATTACTTGAAAGATAGTTTTGACTCTGAGACATTGTAGTGTATGATATGTGACTATCTGACAATTTTGGCTTGTTTCACTCACCTATAATAAACTGATTGTGAGTAGAGTGATCCACTCAAACGATCACTTCCATGGCTTTCATTTGACAAAATATTCAATTTTCCCTTGTTTTATAAACTCTATGGATTAACTTTCTGGTAGACATGATTCCCTCCTCTGCTCAGATTTAAAATGTTTATGTGCTCATTCAGAATTTTCTCTACATATTTGTTTGGTTACAGAAAGACCAAGAACTTGGGCTAGAAGAAGGTTAATGTAGTTTCCAATTTATTTGATAAAATGAGAAGTCCTAGGCCTGGTGTATCGGATACATGTTTTATCTACTCTTGGGCAAATACTTCAGATATCTGTGTGTAGCAGATGTTGTTCCAGTCCACTAATATTAGCATAAAATAAATAATTTTCTCAGCATTGGCTGTCTGGTTTTTTTTAATGAATTACAAAACTAGGGTGAACACTCGCATGGCAAAAAAAAAGTAACAAATAAATGGCAAATTAGTAAGAATCCAGATACTACTTCTCTCAGATATGTATCCATTCTGTTGGCAACAACAGCCTCTCAGATAAGTCCTGAAAACTTATCAATGCTTGAAGAATATTATATATGAGCTTGTCTGTTCAACTCCTTTTTAATTGAAAATCCATATGATTTAAGCAGCACAGTATGTTGTCACCAAAGAGCACTTCCCTCCAAGGGAATGGTGAGCAACACATGGGTCAAATAAAGTTCCCCAAGTCAATGCAAGTAGTCCTCTAAAAGAATTCCAAATACTGCTGAAATTTGGCTGCATGTTATGCCACTGCATTTCAGCATAAAACCACTAAAAGCCATGATTATATATAGAATCATATTTGGAAGGAGCCACACAGCCAGGAATACATTCTGTTGCTGTTATTGGCTGTGGCCTAGAAAGGAGTGGGTGGGTGTGTAAACGCGCATGTCGAAGGAAAGTTGTTTAGGTGAACAAGAGAAGGAGGGTGTTCAGCCTTCAGGCCAATAAATCTCTTTATTTATGTCACCAAAAAAAGGGTGTGATGTACAGACAGAGCTTAAGACTCTTGCATCAACCTGCTTCTTCCTCAAGTCTGGAACATTCAATACTGTAGTCTTTTACTGAAAAAATATTTTGCCAGTGAAGTTTGAACAAGTGAGATTATTCTTGTGTGAAGTAGAAGTGGCACTGCACATCTGATATGGTTGGCACTACTCAGATAATGGGCAAGAGTTGCTCTTAAAATAGTTCATTCTTGCCTGGAAGAAAATATCTTGTGTCTGACAAAATTCAAAGGTTCCTCCCCTCCCCAAATCCTTTGCTTATTGAATAAAAATAAATGAAATATAACATTAATTGGACCATTTGCATCCACTTGCAGTTAGTGGTCTGCTCTAGAGGAGAATTGGAGAATAGGCTTGTGGATTCATATTTTTGCTATTAAAACTTTCTGAAATAATATCCTAGATAATGGTGATGTCAAAAGGCTGGTAAATACCTTCATTTCTATTTGCGAGTGGGGTGAGACGATGGAATGATTAGCATATAAATGAAATGTGCATAAATAACTATTTTTCCATTATTATTTTTTGTTTATTAGAATGAATCTTTAAAAAGTGAAGCAGGCTCCATTTCCAACACAGCTCCTGATATTTGTATAGCCTACAAGCTTCATTTGGAGTGTGGCAGATTAATTAACCTTGTTGACTGGTTAGAGGTAAGTGAATATTGAATCGGTTGAGGACTACTTTCCTGCTTGGCTGATCCCCCACAGACTTGCCTTCTTTTTAAATCTCTTAAGCTTTCCAAGTAGTCTTTGTATAATATGCAGTGTCTCCCCTGTTCTTTTGGGCTCCACAAATTGTAATCGTTTTAAATTTGCCCTAGTGCTAGGTTCAGTGCATTCATGCTCTCATACCAAGAACTTCTCTCCTCGCAAAAAGCGCAGCTGTGCTTCAGTCAAAAGCCTTGTTTGTATGAAACTGACTCTTCTTTCATTCCCTGTTCTCTGACTCATTGCTTCTTTCTACAGAGTGACAGCAAGGGGGAGAAACTGTATACCTATTCTTCCCTGTGAGGGAGTACAGCTAGCATTTTTTTCCTTTGCTACCATTTTATAAGCAGAAGCAAAGTGGTGTTGATACTTCCTTTGATACAAAGACTTGCCAAGTCTCACTGCTCCTCCTTGAGAAAAGAAGTTTAGCCTTTCATCCTTGGAAGTAGTGAGACTCTGTTGTGGCTTTCTACAGAAGCCCAAATTACAAGATCAAGAAGAAATTTTGTTCTCTATAATTTGCTACTCCTTAAGAATTACTGAGAAAATGGAGCGAGAAACGAGGAAAGCTCTTTCCCTTTCTCCACATCACTGCACTTTTTGCATGTAAAGGGTCTAGGACAGTAGTTCTTAACCTATGGGTCCCCAGGTGTTTTGGCCTACAACTCCCAGAAATCCCAGCCAGTTTACCAGCTGTTAGGATTTATGGGAGTTGAAGGCCAAAACATTTGGGGACACACAGGTTGAGAACCACTGTCTAGGACTTGAAGAAAGTGCCAGTGAAAATATTTGCCAATTAATGGAACCAAAGCCTTATCTCTAGCCAAGATGGTTTTGGAGAGTCATGCTGCCGCCCTTCATAAAGTCCCAAAGGCAAAGGGAAAATTGTCCTCTTCTTTCAAGAGAGCTTGTAGAAAAGGAGGTGTGATTTATTGTCTTTCCCTTAGGCTTTCACTGGAAGAGCAGACATGCACCACTACTGTTTTTTGCAGGAGATAAATCACTCTAGTTTCCTAGTCTGTTTAGATAAATGAAGGGAAGGTTTAGTTTCTCTCCTTTTGGACTTTTGTAGGAGGTGTCAATAGTGCTATAGTATTGCTCATTTCATTAATTAACAAATTAGAATACAGCCCTAGGAAATACTAAAAGCCCACCTATATTTCATTGTGCCCAGATCCATTCCCCCTTCACAGTTAATATTTTGATGTCCTGTTTATTAATGGCATTGCAAGTTCCAGGTAGTGTGTTCTTTCCTTGTCTGTACATTTAGTATTAGTTTTGTCAGATGTTTGCAAACAGTAATACATTCAGTGTGGTTTTTTCCTCTTCAGGCTTTCTCAACTGTTGTAAAAGCAGCTGACAACACAGATTCTTCAGTGAAAGATCAGATAGATGACATTACCCAGTATCCTTTTTTCCCTAATTTTCATTTGACTTTGCCACCATTGCATACAAGTCAAAATTCCCTTTGTATCAACAGAAGAGATCAGATTTCATCATTATCTCCATATTCCCTAAAAATGAGCTTATTTTATGCAGGAAAAATAAAGACTTGCTAGACCGTTTGAATCTAGAATGAAATAATCACTGTATTATTTACAGAGGGGAGATTCACAAACTGCATTTTGCGGGGGGGGGGGGGGGGAGGTCCCCCTGTAAAAATATCTGCTTAGTCTGAGAGCAGAGGATTTTTGATGATAGAAGCATTATCAACCTTAGCTCTGCTCTGTTAAAAAAAAGATTATTTCCCCAACCCTGTAGATGGATTACAAAGCTAGAACCACATCATGTTATAAATTGACTTGGAACTGTATTGGTAGTCCAAATTAAGGTGAATCCACTGAATCTGTTCTTGGGTGGTGAGTTAACACTTGCACCAGTAAGATTCAGCAACCGAGTAGGTGCAGTGAATAAACTTGTCCAGTTGTACCAACTGTGTGCAAATGGGTGAAGTTGTGCGTCAGTAAATTACCCAGATCTATGTGTTTTCCCATTTGAAAGAAATGTGGTTTTCCTTAACTGGCACTTCCCTAGTGCTCGGTTCATTAGAGCAGTCTCTGAATTGGAACTCTTGGGATTCATAAAGCCTACCAAGCAGAAAACGGATCATGTGGCAAGGCTGACGTGGGGCAGCTGTTGATGTGCATTCTCCCGAGAGGGAAAGAACAGTAATCTTTACAAGACGGATAATTGTCAAGTAATTTCCATTATAGGAGAAATTCTACTTTGCTGCGATAATAAAGTACATAGAAATAACCTACTGGATACTGTTTATTTGCATTTAAGTGAAAGCAATATAATGCAATGGGCATACTTAAGATTCTTGGATTTTTCAGGTGAGATATGCCAATCAAACCCAATTGGTAGGTGTTAGCTACCAGTATTTTTTGTTTGTTTGTTTAGTTCACTGGTTATATATATAGAGAGGGAGACTGGAAGATGTGGGATTTTCATTTGTTTTACCTATTACACATGGCTTTAAAAATTTCAATGGAGTGCAGTTTTGGAGGCAGCAAATTGGCTCTAGTCCATTATTGTAACTCATAAAATCAATACCAGACCCTTTGAAAGACAAGCTGATGTCTAGTGTGTTTTTTGGTACTGAGGTCAAACTTGAAACTTTTGTGTTTAATCTTTGACGTGCTAAATATTCATCGATTTACCTGGACAACTATGTTAATGCTTATCCAGCAAGGCTTTGAGTGTTTCTTTAATGTTTACCTTTTTCTTAGTAGGAACAAACAATTGTACGGTATTAGTGACATGAGATCTAAGTGGCCTACATTTGTGTACTCTTTGAAAAGGGTGCAACTTTTTATTATTCTTTTAACAGTCACCTTGAAATGTAGAACAATATATTTGTAATTTTATATTAATTTTGCATCTTTTGTACTGGCCATTACTTATATGAGATGACTTTAGACTAGAACCACATAAAATAAAATTAAAATATTTGTAACATGCTGTGCACTACTGCCTTTGAAAAGCATCTGACTTGCAGCTGGAACATAATGCACATGATGAAGCCACTAGGCTAAGGCGCATTGGTTTTCAAGTATACAATGCCAATACCCTACTGACATTCAAAACCAATAACAATAGTAAGAGATTTTCAACAGTGGCTGATGCTAATATTCATAGCCCTTCTGAGATTATGGAACTGTTTCCCAAGGAAAGTTTGCCCTGGCTTTCCCCTCTCTAGCCTCCTGAAAACGTAATGATTTTTGGAAAGTTAAAGCGGTTTCAATGACACACTTAAGTATGATTCACATTGCACAACTTTTTACTTTACTGTAATTATTGCCATCTGTTCTTAGTTGTAAGGGCAAGGTTTAAAGCTAATGCCATTTGAAAGTGTACAGCTTGCAAACTTCATAACTCTGGACACTACCAACCCCACAGATATTTGGCATAACATATCACCCAGATCTGCGTTACTGATAGGGAAACGTTCAAGATTATGCAAAAGGATTTCCTGGACATCTGCTCAACAGCTGTTCCCATCAGAGCAATGGGTTGGGGGTAGTGGTGTTTGTACCACACAGGGGGACTCAGATGCTCCCACAAGGCCCATTTCCCTTGTGGAAAGACATTTATAGATATAGCCCATTTTGTCCACATGCCCAATAAAGCATCACTCCAGGGTTTTCCTGTCACATTTACTTTCAACATCTGCTCTTCCACTAACCCTACAAATAATTCAGGGTTCTGCCAGCCTAACTTCAGCCATGTTCACAGAACTAAATCTAGAATAGTTTTAGATCTTCACACAGATGTGTGCAGGGAATCAATCCAGGAAGTTCTGAAAATCAGATTCCTGAGCAAACAGAAGAGTGTTTAAAAGTATCAACTGTACTTACATATAAACATAACATTCATGCAAAGCTATTTTATTGCATGGCTAGGTTGCTAGGCTTGAATATTTTCTTATATTCTGCTAAGGTTTGAGGTCTGCATGATCCTTTTTATCATTAGACATCTCAGAGTACTCTTGAGTGTAGAACCTTTTGGGCTTTGAGGCGATTTTGTTTTGTTTTGCTACAAATCTGTCTCTGTGGTTGAAGGAAAGTTCAATGTCTCCACTAGTGAAAGAATTTGTTCTTATGCCACTAGCTTCCATTATTATGAATACAAGAAAAACAAAGTCCTATTAACCACAAAAAAAATGTCATACAATACAGATAGGGCAGATTTACTGTCTCATAGGAAAAGAGGCTTCACTTCCAAGGCCACAGAGTTCTCTTCAGCTTGAGCAGATTATGAGAAAACAGACATACTATTTCAGCATTTAAACAGCAGTTTTACTACTTGACAATTGCTGTATTTATCCTAATTATCGTCAAACCACTCGATGTTAAATAATTTCCACACAACTCTTCTTCCAACGAGATTAGAGCAGTAATTGTCTCATGACAGCTTAGTGAAATCTATTTAAGACTACGTTTCGGGACTATTTCTCACATAAGTAAAGGGCAAATTATTTAATGCCATTTCCCAACTATCTACTGGTTCAACATATCAAGCCAAGAGCTTGATACAAAATGTCAGTGAAGCACTTGGGTGAGACAAATAGTGGAACTGAATTGCCTATAGCTGAAACTAGAGATATAAAAGGTAAATACTAGGGATGTGTGATTCATTAAAAATGGTTCAAAAGCCATTACAAAACTGGGGGGGGGGGGGGGGGACACTGGCGCTACGTTTCTAAAATGTTTCTAAAGTATACTTAGTGAAAAAAATTGTTACTATAACTAGACTAGCTAAACTTTGTCATAATAATTGCGCATAAGGTAAAGATTTTCCCTTGATGTTAAGTCTAGCCAAATCAGACTCTGGGGTGTGGTGCTCATCTCCATTTCAAAGCCGAAGAGCCGATGTTGTCTACAGACAGCTCCTAGGTCATGTGGCATACATGACTGCATGGAATGCCGTTATCTTCCCGTCTGAGCAGTACCTATTGATCTCACACTTGCATATTTTTGAACTGCTGGGTTGGCAGAAGCTGCGGCTTACAGCGAGAGTTCTCCCCGCTCCCCAGATTTGAACCACCGACCTTTGGTCAGCAAGTTCAGCAGCTCAGTGGTTTAACCCGCTGCACCACAGGGAGGGGCATGCACATAATTAAAATAATTGGGGGGAAATTGGAGGCTCCTATCCCCCATTTTTAAAGCTATTGGGGTGAAACTTGCTGCAATGGTTGAACGTTTCACTTATCCACTTATCCACATTTCACTGATTTTTGGCAAATTTTCAATGTTTTAAGGAGGGACAGATCTCTCTCTCTCTCTGCTATCCTGCTAATGCTGAGACTGCATTAATTTTACAGAGGAATGAAGGCATTAAGGTAGCCTTTGGCATTACTCCTTGCCTTGCACTGACTTTGGGAGCCTTAAGAGATTTACAAAACTAAAACAAAAAAGTATAGAGCAAGTTTCGTTTCTAAAATATTGGATATGGGCCACACAAATGCTTTGGATATGGCTTCCGACTTAACAAATTTCCAATTTTCTTACAATTTCATACTTTAATAACTACAGAATAACATCAGAATATAAAGTAACTCCAGAATAAAGAATATCTGATAGGAAGTTAGATACTACTTTCAATAGCATAAATGCCATATAACTGTTAATCAATTCAACAAATCCTAACAAGACTAACATGCACCAAACCCTCATGTATCATTTTGACCTTAAGGCAAAACTATAGTGGTACCCTTCAGAAACTTTATAGTCCATGCCATGGCACCCCCTGTACACCAATCCACAATATATCGAATTCTAGGATTTTATCATTCTGTAATTTTACAGTACATACAGAAGAAAAAAGGAACCAGATTTACCTGAAACAATAAAAACTAAGGTTTCTGCATGGAAAATAAGTTTAAACAAGGATTTGCACCATGTTAAGACATATTGTGTTCCCAACAAAGTTAAGATATGTCTACATAAGCATCTCTCAACCATTTTAACCTGAAGGAGCCCTAATCATCCAGGGCTCAGGAAACTCGTAAATAAAAATTATTATATCTACAGTTCAAAATAGGTGTTTTGTCCCACAATGATGACATTTTTGGGGTGCATAATAACATTTTATAGGGAACATCAATTAAGAAATGGACCTGCATTTTGCTATTAAGCATTAATATAAACATTAATGCTTGGTACTATACAGTTTCTCAAATATCACTGGTATATGGAGATTCTAGGATCTCCCGTTCTTACTAGGGACACAAAACAGAGTTCCCAGACTCCCCTTTGGAGGTGTTCCACTGCCTGCTGGGGTAAATGGGGCAGGGAAAGCATGGGCAGTGAGAGCAAGCTGTCCTTCAAAAACAGAAACAGCTGAGATGCGTGGCTGCAACCCAAAACAAAGTTATTGGCACCAAGCCACAGTGGCATTTTGCTGCCACAAGCTCTACCAGTTCCTGGTTCTGTAAAGGGGTGGTAGGCTGTTTAAAAGTCTTCTTCCCTCCTGCTTTCTGAGCGAGGGGAACAGAAGAAAAGAAGGTAAGTTACTGCCCATTGCCAAAGGCAAGAAACACAAAGGGGGTGGGAGTCACCCTGGAGCAACTTCCCCATAAGCCATACATTTCAAAGAAAATGCCATACTGGCCTGAATAGGATAAACAAAGGTCCCAGAACACAAGTTGGAATTGCTGTCTGTTAGAGTAGTCAAACTGGAGTCCTTGAGTCAAACCAATAGTTGTTTTAGGAGAGAACACCGAGTTGTTGCTGCTTTCGCGGACAAAAGGAATTAAGGCTCCAAGCCCCGCTGCCTGGCTTTATTAGGAGTAGATGGGCGGGGCTGGAGTCCCTAATTAGGAAAAGCTTTCAAGAAAGATCCGAGTCAGCTGCGTGGACGCAGGGAAATACCACAGGTGTGGATTTCACAGTACCACGCAGAAGAAGTGAGGTTTAGATACTTACAGAAGAGAAATCCTGTGAAGGCTGCAAAAAGGGGGGAGGGGTGTTGTGTTGGCTTTTGTTAATCTAGGCCAGGGCCCCCCAAAGTAAGTCCTGCGGCCCAGCTGCAGCCCTTCACGATCATTTACCCAGCCCCCACCCTAAACTTTAGTCTGAAAAGACTTGAAGGCACACAACATTCCTCATTAGCTTGACTATCTCATCAGCCAACACTTCCCATTGAAATACTGGTACGATTATGTTGGTTAAAATTGTTCTTCATTTCAGTTATTGTATTGCTATTTTATGTTTTTTGCCTTTAAACTGAATCCCTACACCTTTGCTTGACCTTAGACTATCAACGGTTGAGCTAACAAGCTAATTGTTAACTACCACCTATATATATTAAACACACAGGCTAGAAGTAAATGTTTTATTCAACTAAATTCCAGTACTACAAGGGCAGTAAAACAATGATACACTGAAAAATTGCAGCAATAAACATTTGTTAAAGACTGATAGAATAAATAAAACCTACAAAAAATGAGAAATTATATAAACCCATTCTTAACCCCCCCAAAAGTCATGGAATACAGAAATGCCCTCCTTCACTATTTCACAGGCAGTACTGTGGGCTATTTGCTTAAAGTTGTCCAGGAATTACATTCTAATTTAACTGTGAATACAGCTTTGCAGTGCACAGTTATGAAAACCACACTAACTTCCATCGAAGTGTAATTCTACACTTTTATTTACATGACCATTGAAGGGCAGAGTTCTAGTACACCAGCTTTAATCCTTTTACTTTTCAAACTTATTAACATAAGCCAAATTGTAATGATACAGCAAATGAGACCACTGGTATTAACAGGTAGCAAAGGTCCACATCCAGGTGGTACTGACATCAGGGAGCACTCCAAAACCAGTTGCTGCATAAGAGTGGTTGCCACTGACAAAAGCTTGAAATAACCAGTGTATACAGGAGGGGAGAAGGGGAAATATGGCATTGCTGCAAGTCTTTAAAGGACAGCTTGCAACAATAGAACAGGATTTCAGGGCTGCCCA